TATATTTTTGGGAGACAAGCTAGGTCACTACAGTAATTATGATACGGATACATATCACCACAAGTTACAGCCTCTCTTGCAATAAGGTCAGCTTTGTCATTGCCGCTAATACCACTGTGTCCTGGTAACCAGGCAAAAGAAACGGAATACCCTCTCAACATGCAAAGATAAAGACTTTGTCTTATGTCACAAATAATGGGATAAACTGGTTTTGATTTAAACGGATATTTGGCTAGAGCTTGCAAAGAGCTCATAGAGTCAGTGAAAACTATTGCCTTATGTAATTTCATTAAAAGTATATATTCTACAGCTTTTAAAATACCATAGCATTCCCCGGTAAAAACTGAAGATTCCGGTGGAAGTTTAATTTTTTGAACGATATTAAATTGTGAATGAAACACACCCACACCTACACAACCGCTATTGTCTGGTTTTGATGCATCAGTAAAGATGTAGTGCCATTCATTCCATTCAATGTCAGTTATAAACATAAATTTGGCATTCAATTCTGAATCATTTTTTGATAACCCAAAATCATATTTAATATTAGGAGATAAAACTAAAGATTGATATGGGCATTTATAAATGGGAAAACAGGACGATGTAAAAGTGGGAGATTCTATGGATTTATATTTTTCATAACTTTGTATTAAACATGGAGGTTTTTTATGTTTCCAATAAGATGAAGACGAAATAAAGATATATAGTTGAGATAACTTTTGAATAAGCGGATGATCAGATAATTGTAAACAACGAAAAAAGAAGCGATCAGATAAATATTGCCTTCTTAAAACCAAAGGTGGATCACCGACTTCGAGCTGTAAAGCATTGATTGGACTTGATTTCATTGCTCCAGAGATAATCCTCAAGGCCTTTGATTGAATTAAATCCAATTTCTTAAAAGCAAATGAACTTCCTGGAGCTAACAAAAAAGTTCCATAATCAATGACACTCCTTATAAGACCATTATAAGCAAGTTTTAGTGAAACGGGATGTGCTCCCCACCAAACTCCAGCAAGGCACCTAAGAATGTTGAGGTTACGCTCACATTTCGTGGAAATATAATTACAGTGGGACAGACCTGTTAATTTATTATCTAGCACGATACCTAAAAATTTAATTTCAGTCTTTATAGGAATGTATGAGTTATCATAAAGCACCTTAATTTGTTGCGGTGATCTCATTCTTGAAAACAAAACTACACTACTCTTGGTTACAGAAAGATTAAGACCATTTGCATCTAACCACGTTTTTAACAAATCTAATGAATCAGATAATTTGGCAGAAGCAGATTCTATGGACTTGGCAATAAAATATAATAAGAGATCATCAGCATATTGTAAAATTTTGACGGATTTATCAAGGAATGATTCTAGATCGTATGTGTATATGTTGAATAAAATTGACTTAGAACAGATCCTTGTGGAAGGCCTTTCCATACTGTTCTAGATAATTTGGTATCTTCATCTAGATCCATATGTATTGTTCTTTCTGATAAAATATTAATAATGAAATTAGAAAGCATTACCGGTACATTTAAAGCTTGTAATTTAGTTTTTAAAATTGAAATTATTACATTATCATAGGCAGAATTTATATCTAAAAAGGCTGAGAGGATTGACAAATTTTGTGAGAAAGCTATATGAATATCTGAAATAAGAATGCTCACATTATCTAAGGTGCTCTTACCTTTCCTAAAACCAAACTGGTTCGGGGATAGTAAGTTATTACTTTCTAAAAACCATTCTAGACGGTTCTTCACTAAATGTTCAGCTAGCTTTAGTAAGACAGAGGAAAGTGCAACAGGACGGTATGAAGATGGTTCAGAAGGTGGTTTATGAGGCTTTAGAAATGGTATAATAATCTGAGACTTCCATGAAGTAGGTATATTTCCCGAAATAATTATGGAATTAATTATATTTAAAAAGTAAATTAATGTCGCATCGCTAGCATTTTTAAAAAAGGAATACGGTATACCGTCTTCTCCCGGTGCAGAGTCTTTAATACAAGCTAGAACACCTTTAAGTTCTACAAGAGTAAAAGGAGACTCAAGGTCGGATAATTCGTCAGAGACGGATAGAGAAATATTGTAAAGGCATTCCGGCACATAACTAGGAGCAAGGCGATCTAAAAATTTATTCGCTAAAGTTAAATCGAGTGCAGAACGTGATGTATGATCACTAAAGGCAGATCTGAATCTTTTAATATTATTCCAAACGACTGATGAATTAACTTCTGGACAGATAGAAGAACAAAATCTTCTCCAACCTTCCAATTTCTTTTTTTCAGTAGTTTTCGAGTAGAACGTGAAACTGCGGTTAAATTTCAAAATTTTCTGATTTCATGTAATTATTATAATTTTTTTCAGCCTCTTTACGATTTTTAATTGCTTCCGTACAATCTTTGTCCCACCAAGGTGGGGAGGAAATTTTCCCTGAAGCACTATTTTTAACAGGAAATAATAAATCAGCAACCTCCTTCATATTAATTATCAAGTCATTACAACATTGATGTTCATTTCCATGATAAACAATAGGTAACTCCGATATTTTATTATCTAAATATTGTTTGTAAATATTCCAGTCTACATTTGATAAATTATATTTAAGTCGAGGACCATCTTTCGACTTGAGGGAATGGAAATTTAAGGTAGAGGAATGAGGATACCACGACAGTGAAGAAGCTAAATCAGAAGAACATATTGAAATATCAGGAGCACTAAACCCTTCATTCGGTGCAGTTCTACGTTACATCTGAGTTAATAATACATAAGTTGTAAGTGTCAATTATCGTCAGGAGTTTTCCACCATAAAAATTAGAAGTAGAACTGCCCCACGATTGGTGCTGAGCATTAAAATCGCCCATTACGAGAAAAGGTTTAGGTAAAATTGAAAATAATTGTTCTAGTTGTGAATATATTTGGCATGTAGGATCAGGAATATATAAAGTAACAAAACAGATACCATTTATAATTATAGCAGCTGCATTAATGCCGCTATATACAGGAAGCGAAAAAGAAGAAAAAGAAGGAGTTTTTGACCAATATGGCAACACCGCCATATCCGTCAGCTCTATCATCACGGAGACTTGTAAAGCCTGAAATCCTAAAAGGATATCCTGGCTTTAACCAAGTCTCTTGTAGAGCTATTAAAAAAGGATTATATTTATTAATCAAATAAAATAAGTCTGATTTCTTATTTGTTATGCTACGACAGTTCCACTGAATTATTTGGACTTTGTAATCCATTGTGAGAAGTTAATAATTGAGAAAATACATTGTACATGGCATCGTTGGACGGTGGTAAAGTTGTTTGTATCATTTTTGATTGCGATAACACTTTAATAAGCATGAGAATAATATCAATGATGGATTGATTATTGTCAATATTATTTGATGATAATGCACAACCATTAGAGGGAGCAGGAATATTATATTCCTTAACTATGGCTTCATGGGCAGAACGATCATATCCTTGTTGTATTTTTTGAGGAGAGCGTGGTTTAAGTGTAACTGTTTTTTTATATGATGATTGTATATGTGGTAATGATGATTTCTCTTTAAGGAAAGAAGATTGAAAATGAGATTTATTGGAAGGAGATGATGATGTTAATACATCTGAATATAGTTTAGAAGTTGGAGGATGAAATTTTGATGCTTCAGCATAAGAAACACAACTATGGGCCATTGTTTCTTTAATGGCTTTCTGACGTGCATATTCAGGACATTTTTTACTAATTGCTGAATGAGAACCATTACACAAGATACAAGAAACATTTTCCTCATCTACTTCACATTTATCACCTGTATGATTTTGCCTGCATTTATAACACCGAGGATTTGAACGACACTGCATCTTGACATGTCCGAACCTACAGCAGTTAAAGCATTGGATAGTAGGGTAAATGTACAAATCTACAGTTAATGATGTGTAAAACATAAATACTCTTTTTGGCAATATTTGTCCATCAAAAGTAATAACAATGGTTTCAGTATTAATAAAACTTGGTTGTCCTTCATTAATTGTCTTTTTCTTTATTCTTCTGGTTTTTAGAATTTTCCCACAACCTATCGGTACTGATATACTCGTATTTTGGATTACTTCCTCTTCTGTCCAATCTTTAGGAATACCCCTCACAATTCCCATACGGGTTACATGGAAAGAAGGTATAAATGCCTTAAAATTATGTGTCACTAAGTTACTATTATTTAAAAATGCATTTGCATTTTCAAAATTTGAGAAAGAAAGCGATAAACGGTTTCTTCCTATTCTTTTGAGGCTACCATTCACTATATTATTTATCTTATTAGTGTGTAAAAAGCGACCAAATGCAATAGGATGTAATGTAGTGTTATCATTAGGATGTGTTTCATTTTTTTGTACATGAACGACATAAGGTGCTATATCCTCGGCGTTGTACAAAGTTCTGCTTAAAGTACTGGGTGGAGAAGCAGGTTTAACAGACTCGGTATTGTTTACAACTGGTATTGATACTTGAGTTTGATTCTCATCTTCAATACATTGACAATCACTATCTTTAATTTTAGATTCAAGACCCTTGGTGTGCCTCCTTCGTTTTTTATTGCAATGTTTGCAAATGCGACGTTCACCACGTATTCGCTTACGTTTAGAACTTGCAACGCTAGAACCATCTGTGTCCATACTAGATTCACCCAATATATCAAAACTATTATTGAATGGAATAGTTATATTTGCAGACACCTGGGGGGTTGTCCCCCCAGGGTCTATAGGTGGATCCATAATGTTAATATAGGTAATTTACTTACCAATATTTACAGCAACAAACACTATTACTACAAAATATACAATTAAATATACAATCTAATACACAATATATAAAAAAGACTAATCCTTATATAAATAAAAATAAAATTAATTTAAAGAAGATCAAAAAACACTCCCGATTTTTTAAACGTTTCCCGCGCTTTCTGTGATTCAATTACGTACTATGACAAATAACCACAGAGAAAGTAATCCTACCTATATTCACTAGTGTATACTCACTGTCCATTAGTGATGGGATTCGAGTTGCTTTTCACTCGAGTGACTCGAGTAGTTTTTATATTACATGCACTCGAGTTAATTTTTTGACGACTCGAGTTTCGAGTGATTTGCGTCGACTCGAATTACGAGTGACTCGAGTTGACTCGTACCACTCGAGTGGTTTATACCGAACTGAGTGAGAAATTCAAATTGTGACAAGTTTACCCGCGGTAGCAGGAAACTTTTAAGAGAGAAAATTCTTCCTGATGCTTATCATGCCGCACGCACTATAATTGTAGATATTCTACATTTAGTTGAATATACGGCTGCTACAATAGATTTATGGACTTCTGACAATAATAAAGCATACCTAACTATTACAATACTTATAATTCAAAACTTTTTTCGCAAACTGTTACTACTAAAGAGGTTACGGAGAACCTTCTTTCTGAAGGGAGATGTTTTATGCTATATATATATATATATATATATATATATATATATATATATATATATATATATATATATATATATATATATAGCATAAAACATCTCCACAGCCTAATTGCGGTTGCCAATCTGCCTATCAAACGGGGAGACTTATTCAGCAGTTAAAGTCTGATATAAGAATATATATACATATATATTTATATACATATACATGGTGCTAGAATATGATTAAGTGGACAAGTGTGCTGAAGTCGATATTATCGAAGCCGTTTGGTAGGGAAAAAATTTATCAATTTATTTTTTTATAGTAGTTATTACACCAATTTTAGTTAAATTTGTTATCTCATTAAAGATACATTATTTTTGTTTTTTTTTTTGTTGAGTTTATTTAAGTTTTATTTAAGTTAATTTTAAAACACGTATATTATTACTTAAATTGTGTAAGAACATAATAAAACTGTTTATATTTGGATCTCATGAAAGTTCCTTGTTAGAATAAATTAAATTGGATTAGAACTTATTAGTAGTAGATTATGATATAATATTTTAATTTGACTGATAGTTGATATAAGAGGTTTCTTGATTATGTATGACAGGTTTAGTTTGAAGGAAAATTCTATTTTTTACATTTTGTTTAGATTTTTTTTTTTTTTTGAGAAAATGAATACACATTTTCCATGTAAAATTAATACTGTTTTATTCGTTTTAAAATTTTGGTCACTCGAGTTTTATATTCCGAGTGACTCGAGTCAATAAAAATCACTCGAGTTTTATCTTCACTCGAGTGGCATTCGAGTGAGTAACTTATCAGTACCGAGTGACTCGAGTGAAAAAAAATCACTCGAGTCCCATCACTACTGTCCATAGTTTTTTTTTTGTGACTTTGGCGAAAGCCATCAGCCAAAAAGTAACAATTACAAGGTAACAATATGTCCATAGTGTTGTACCACCGTGGACAATGAGTGCATAGATAACAACGGTGCATACTTTGATATATTAAATATATTTTACAAAAAAAATTGATTTTATATTCGTCTCGTACAAAACGCCAATTTCATATGCAAGAACCTAATATATCTTCGTCCAATATATCAATATCGACAGTTGCCATAAAAAACCTAGCTAGTTCATATTATGAACTAACTAGGTTTTTTTTTTAATTTGAACATTTTATATAATGAACTTTATAAGTACAAAATTTTCAAATTTTACGAAAAATATAGACAAACAAAATATTTATATTTAGTTACATCATTTTACTCTACTACAATTTTTAATCATTTTTTTTTTGTCAGGTGAGTAATGCGTATAGTATTATATTATCTGTGGTAATGCAAATTCCCTTTAGCGTATTAAACAATAGTTTTTTTTTTTATTTTAATGGATGATAATGGAATGGTAACCCCACCTGCGCTATCGGTATACACCGGCGGGGCACCAGTGAAGGATGATAGGTGAGGATGAAGTAGGTCAGTTAGCCCATCGTGACGAATTCAACAAGAATTGTTCATGATGGTTTCCAGGGGGAACCACGTGGAGGTCGACCTAATAAGGCATATTGCTAGCAATGGGGCTGTCAAACTCCATTGCTAACAATCCCTTTCCCCCTATTAAACAATAGTTAGAAACGTTATGCCGTGTCAAACAGCATCTGAAAAAAACACGTATTCAATTCTAAAGAATAGTATATTACTACAGCGGCCAGCAAATGAAGCATTGATGGACGAACGTGCAAATGTGAGCAGAGGTGTACCCGAGGCACACATACGTGAATTCATCAATGCTTAGTTGTGACCAAGGCTTGTATAGGACTTTTCTCAAACAATGCGCGGAAATCAAAAACAATTTTACTTTTTAAGTTCAATGATGAATAACGAACAATAATAATTTTTCACGCGCCATAATCTTCCTTTGTTTTTTTTTTTTCAATAAACAGCTTTCTATTTGCAAGCCAGTTCGAAATTTAATAAAATATTTTATTAGTTAAACATTATGTCACGCGACTACAGCGTTGCGTCTGGGGGACTACTTTTGTGAAAAGGACTCTACTACGTAATATGAAAATGTTATACGGCTGTATAACCCTACCAAATTTAGATACTACCTGCTTGCATACTTTCAACATTAAACTGTCTTATAATCTAGTAATGTAAATTAATGAAACTAGCTTGCTATGAATTAAGAAAAACAGCAACTGATCTCTCGTCCTCTTTTTACTAATTATATTTGCATAAGAAGAAAGGAGTAACCGTATGATTTACAGTTTTTATTTTATTATTCCTTATATGTAATTGCTTGTTCTTAATTTTCTACACACTAACCTGCTATGAATTATTGCTATTAAATTCCGTGTTCTTAGGTACGTACATTAAGAAAATGTAACAATTGCAAATTACTCTGTGAACCGCAGATCAGAAAATGTGAGTGACGTGCTTGAGTGCAATTGAGTGTGTCAATCTAATGTCAATCAAACTGTGGTATCAAAGCAAACTTTATACTTATCTACCTATATACGTAGGTACCCTATTCTATCTTTATCTATAGCAGTGCTGCTGGATTAGGTGAATTTAGCTTTTTAGGCTATCTTGAAGGATGTCGGAGCGACTAAAAATTGTGATTGGCGACTAGTCACCATTTATTTTGAAAAAAAATTCGACGATTTTAAGCTATTTTCATAAAGAATATTTATAGTCAAATTATAATAATTTTAGCAAAAGCTATATAAAGCTTTAATAGAAACGTAACCAATAGCAAAAAAGATAGCAAGGTGTAAAATTTATTATATCTAATATATATCTGCATATTTAGTAGCATATAAATAATCTTTGTTTTTTTCTTTCGCTTAATATCAAGACATTAAATTTATGTTAAACACTGGCACATGATTGTTGGTTGGCACTGGCACTGGCACAAGGGTACAGCAATCACATTAATAAATATTTCATAAAGTACATAACAAAATTTTTACATTATATATATGTATCGCCATTAACATAAAATAAATAAAACATTATTACATTGAAACAAATAGGTACAAATACAATTAAATTTTCTCATTGAAAAATTCCTGTAGTGTATAATAACTTTTTGTAATTAAATATTTTTTGGATTCATTATATTGTATATAATTTTTTAATAGTAATGTTGTGTACCTGCATATTCATATTGTTGGTTTTATCAAAATCGATTTAATACTTTAGTTTTTTTTTATTTTTGTTTTTTGTTATTACATTAAAAGAGAAGCGAATTTAGGCTGCTTGGAGTTCAATTATCGGCAAATTCCGATCCGTTTTATCTGGCAATACTGATCAATACATACATATCTACGATGTATATATACTTATAACAAAATTCGTTGTTCCTCTTTGTTTTTAATTACTAATTCGTTGTAGTTATAGAAATGTTGGTAAAATAACTTCAAAAGTTTGAAATAAAATATTTTATCTTTACAAAAATGTCGCATATACAAGATAGCTTAGTTGAAAGAAATAGTGAATTGAATAGACCTTCCACTTCAGCTCTGTCCACGTCGCAATCTTTAAATTTAAAAAATACTGAAAATAAAAAAATTAACGAACCTGTTTCTACACAAATATTTTCGAATATGGATATAGTGAGTGCAGTGTCATCTCGGTGCCAAAATTTAAATATAAGTGATATACATGAAGTAAACAGAAAGGAGCACAACGCACTTGTGACTGCGCCTTCGAAAAAGAAAAATGCGCAAAAGAAAGAAAAGTTAAAACAATTACAAATGCCTACATCAAACACAAGTGAAGTTGACCGTCCAGTTCTAAGCAGTTCTGTGCAAGAATTCTTTATGAGTCATGTAACACCAATGTATGCTACTAAAAGTACGAGATATCTAGAAAATCTTAGTTATCATCCACAATATCAGTACATGAATAATACAAGAGATATTTCGCAAAATCCACACCATCCAAGAAGTGTTCCTAGTTCCCCTTTATTACAAAATGGGCACATACAGAATTCAGTGAGCATATCAAACACTCCATTTGTCGTGTCTCAACCTACAACACCTACATCTATACAAAATGTATTGCAACATCCTTTGTTAAATTACTCAATATTAGTTCACCAAAATAAATATGGACAAAATCCAAGTTCCTCCCAACCTAATCCAAATGTGTCGGTAATAAAAAATTCTCTAAAAAATATTAAAAGTTCTCCAAAATGTATGCAAAATAATAAAATAAAGCAAAAGAATAATGATGAAAAAAAATTTGATCCATATTTATCTATAGAAGAAGTAGAATTGGGTTTGAAAAACAATAGTTTAATTGAAGGTGTTTTGAGAATAAATCCCAAACAATTTCAACATGCATATGTGTCAAGTACTGATCGTAGTGGACAAGATGTTCTTATAGATGGAATTAAAAATCGTAACCGAGCTTTGGAAGGAGACATTGTGGTAGTACAGATAATACCAGATAGTGACAATGAAGATAATACAGATGATAGTAAACAAAAGAAGGGAAAAGTTGTATATATTAAAGAAAAAGTTCATACTAGAACTTGTATTGGAATATTGAAATTAATGCCAGATAAAAATAGGCAAAGAGCTTTGTTTGTTCCTCGTGATCATAGATTACCAAGATTGAATATACCATTTACATGTTGGCCTGATAATTTCTATCAGGATGCTAAAAGTTATGAAAATACATTATTTTTAGCAAAAATAATAGATTGGTTTGATACTAGATTTGCTTTGGGAAAAATTGAATGTAATATAGGACAGTCTGGTAATATGAAGACAGAAACGCAAGCTATATTAGCACAAACAGATTTAGATATCACACCTTTTGGACCTGAAGTCAGAGACCTATTCCCTCGTTTGGATTTTGTTATACCTGAAGAAGAAATTAAGTTGAGGGAAGATTGTCGTGCGCTATGTTTATTTAGTATAGATCCATTTAATTGTCGGGATATTGATGATGCTGTTTCATGTAAGGAGCTAGATAATGGAAATTATGAAATTGGTGTTCATATTTCAGATGTTGCTCATTTTCTTACTGAAGACACTATACTTGATGAAATGGTGGCAGACAAAGCAACTACCATATATTTAGTAGAGAAAGCATATCACATGTTGCCAGATGAGTTGTGTATGCTGTGTTCTCTTTTTCCTGGGGTTGATAAACTTGCTTTTTCTGTATTTTGGGAAGTAACTAAGGATGCAAAAATACTCAGTCACAGATTTTCAAAAACTGTAATACATTCTTGTTGTCAACTAGCTTATGATCATGCACAGGCAATTCTAGAGGATAAAGTTGATGCTAAAGATATATTCCCAGAAACTTACAATGGATTTAAATATTCTGATATATATAAGTCAATTCAAATGTTAGGTAAAATTTCTTCTATACTCCGTAAGAATAGATATGAGAATGGTGCATTAAGGATTGATCAACCCAAAGTTGTATTTCAATTAAATAGTTTGAGTGGGCTGCCAGATTCTTTCTGCATCTATGAAAGTAAAGAAAGCCATCAACTTATTGAAGAATTTATGTTGCTGACAAATATGACTGTTGCAAAACGAATTTATGAAGATCATCCAAATCTAGCATTTTTGCGTAGCCATCCACCACCTAGTACATATATGTTGAAGGAGTTAGCTAAATCATTACAACCACTTGGGATTGATTTGGAGATATCTTCTGCTGGTGATCTACATCGCTCTTTATTGCCACATGTAGGACCTGAATGTACAGATAAAGGCAAAGCCATGGTATTGAATATGTTATGTGCAAAGCCAATGACTAGAGCGAAGTATTTTTGTGCTCATGGTTGTGATGATGATGATTTCCATCACTATGCTCTCAATGTGCCTTTGTATACACATTTTACCAGCCCCATCAGACGTTACGCAGATATAATGGTTCACAGGTAATAATATTATTATCATTAGATAATGATTTTTTTACATTTTAAAGTAGAAAACCAGATATGTCTTGATTATAATATAATAGAATAGATAATATAATTTTCTTTGTGAGTAACCTGTTATTTATCTATAATAACAATATTTTGTACTTTATATAATAATAGGTATAATTATTATTAATATTATAAATGTAAGTGACTTTTGTTTGTTACTTCTTGGCATCTGAATGGTTTTACCAATCACTATGAAATTTAGTATACAGGTATTATTAAGAATGGAGAAGGAAAAGCCTACATTTTATCCCATTCAGTGAACATATCCCAATCATGTGGATGAAGTTGTGGGTAAAAGCTAGTATTATATATAGACCCACCCTTGCTTCAAATGTATTTTTTTATATAAAGCCCATGTCTCCACTTAATAATAAAGTTTTGTATAATTATACCCATTTTCTTTATTTTCGAAAAAAGTATAATATGTAGTATTACTTAGGCGCTCTTTTTTCTTTGTACATATTCTATTACTTAATTAATTCAGTCACCAGTTACCAGTTGCAATAATGGTATTGCTTTTACAATTGTACAGGCATTCAATAAGTTATTTTATGCTGTTTGGATACAATGAAGAATAATAGATGAGAATGAAGTCAAATCTCTTTTCCCATCATGATAAGTTCACCTGAAAAAAAAAAACATGATAGTTTCTAGAAGGAATCATCTGGAGGCTACCTGACAGAGTATTATGAGTAATAAAGTTGAACAACCTTTTCTGTGAGTCAAAAATATTATGTAACATTTTAAAATAGATGCATGTTTTTTCAGATTATTGGCTGCCAGCCTGCGATATAGAGATGTACCTACATGGGAAATAGATAAAGTACGAAAGATAGCAGCACAATGCAATAAACAGAAGTACAATGCTAAAAAAGCAGGTGAAATGTCCACAGAACTATATACTTTAAAATATATTGAAATGAATTCACCACTATTTACTCAAGCTGTTGTTGTTGACATACGAGAAAAGTATATAGACGTAATTATAGTAATTATGGGATTGAATAGAAGAATATTCTTCAATAACGTGAGTTTTGTTTTTCTTTTTTAATAAAATATTACACCAATACATTGCTGAAACTATGTATCCTGTGTATCCTATGGATATACCATAGGATTTGCAATTAACAATTTATTTTACTGCCTGCCTATGCTATCGGTATGCCAACGAGGCATCAATATATATATATATATATATATATATATATATAAGTCCTGTGGTGGATACTAGCAGTTCTGGGGTAGACAAACAACCCCATGACGCAGACAAATATAACGTAACGCAATTGGGGGTAAACAGAGGGTGAGAAAGTTTAAATAACACGTTACGTAACATTGCTTTTTTTCCTACCTACCTAAGTCCTTTAGCTGACCTGGCAAACGTTGTTTTGACACTTTAAGGGTCCATTTTTTATCGGAATAAAAATCTTATTTTTTTATACAACTTAGAATGGCAAACAAGCTGACTGCCCACCTGATGGAAAGTAATAACCGTCGCTGATAGACATGAGCAGTACCATGGTCAGAGCAGAGTATACTGTTTCGCCCATGATACCCCCCATGCGTTGCCATTCCTGAGGACTCAGGTATTATTCCCCTGTACCCTGAAAATTCACGCCATATCTCACCCTTCAAACCGAAACACAGCCATGCAAACACAACTGCATTAAGGTTTAAACACGAATGGGACAGAGGTATCCAAGCAATCGACTTTTGTACAAAGTCTCCCCCTGGTAAAATCTTTTTTAATTTAAATAAATCAAGTCAGTGAATCTTTTCGTTTATGTTTTATAGGGAGTCCCTCGACTGTATTGTACATCATTTTTGTTTTCGTTATCAGTATTCTTTAGTGTTATGACTTAGATAAAAATGGTCATTTGAATCTTACGTAACGTTTAGCGTTACATGGAAGAGGGAGGATCAAAAATCTTTAAAAATTACATTACATAATACTTGAATGTTGCCGTAAGATCATTTCTTGAGGAAGGCTAGGCTATTCCACATCACGATACGATCACGGGCGACGCCGCGAAAAACAGTTAATATACATAAGGATAAGTAAGAGTTTATGTTATTTTCTATGCACAATTTTATGTGTATGCCAAATGTCATGATGATTGGTTGAACTGAACCATTATGGTGCTAAGATATAACAGGTTAATTACATTTGTAAAGTTTTAGAAAATATATGTTTTAAATCATATACTGTATTTGCAGGATTTTCCGGGTCAATATAAATGTATAAAAAATGAAGCTGGAATGAAGCTCTCCAAAATGGAATTGACTTGGCAAGCAACAGACGATTTGCCTCAAATAAACCAACTAATAGAAGTTTTCTCTATTTTACAAGTTGAATTAAATAGAGATGATGATATGGTGAAAGTAGAAACTAAGTTAGTACGACCTAAATAGCAAATTTAGGTCTTTTATAATTTTATTTGAAATTAATGCATTACTACTTGACAATAGATTGCAAAAATTTTATACAATCTGTGAATAAAATGATACGATAATTTTTTACTTACATTTGTTAAGTAAATTTATAAAATTGTGATAATAAATTCTGAAATTTATTTTTTTAATCTGTACAATAAGATTTTAATCTTTGCTTTTTATTTATTAGGATACAAAACGTATACCTATGTGGAATTTCTTGAAATAATATTTCTTTAAATATACTGGTTTTACTTTTATATAAATTGTAATACAATAAAGACTATATACAGACTGTGTTATTTTAGCTTAATATTTTAATTGCATTTTAAAAATTGTTCTTTTGTACTTATATCTATATAGCCTGTAAAAATATTGTGCGCCATGTTTGTGAGGGGCATAGGTAAAGGTATTGTATTAGTATAGGTAAACTGGCAGGCGTACTCTTTTGTTCCTTGCTTCATTACTCCTCCTCCTGCAAGTCTCGTGCACCTTTACTAGAAAGTATCGAGAACATAATTGACAGGCTATAGTTATCGATAGTTTTTTAAACAAAACCATAAAAATTGCACAGTAGATATTTGTGTTGTAAATGGTTACTAGCCGGTATCCATAATTTTTAATGACTATTCGACATCTATTTATATTAGAACACGATGGTTGACCATTTCATTTCGTGTAACTTATAACTTTTAATATAACGAATTTGGATTTACATAATATTCAAGAATTTTAATTTTGGATTCCTCACTGATATTTGTTTGTGTTTTTTTATGTTTCATTAATGAAATTATTTTAGTAGAACATTAGAAAGTCATAACATTTTATTGTGTAAATACTTACTGGGCATCTAAAAAATTACCTACAGCTCGGAAACCAGTTGCAGACATATAATATTACAAGTATTTAAACGGTTTAATTGTAGGAGGTTGTTTAAATTCCCATTGATAAGGATTCTGTCAGTATGGGTATCACATCAAGCATCTACATTTATTATATATTTATTTTTGCATGATAATCCCTCCCTGTCTGGTGGTGCCCTTTCTAATGTATTCAATGTCATGCTCAATCATGTTGTTATGTATTCCTAATGTTTAATTAATAAAAAAAGCGACTAGATAAGTAGTACTGTGTATTATTGATTAACCTAAATACAATAGGTATTTAAATGGTTGCATGCATATTTAAAACCCGTCCACGTGTGGCGAGGCTACGCTTTATAATTGAAAAATAACAGAAGTATGACTATGTTTTATCTATTTTTCACCCTTATTACAGTTAATTCGCTACTTAGAATTTCATTTCAATTACAATATATTTTTTATGCAACATTTTGTTTGACATTAATTGCATATTTTGAAAAGTTGCAATTTGTATCAGAAAGTACACAGTTTTTTCTATTAAAAAATAAGTGAGTTTTCATCTTTTTGGAAAAATACCATAAATGACTTACCTATAATCTAAGCTTCTACCGTAACATAGCTCTTTAGCTACTTTTATGTTTTTAGTTTTTGTTTTGAATATTGGAAAGTTTCCCATAAATTTGAAAAATAACTAGAACAAATAGCTTGTTTGGTTACTTTTCCTTTAACCGCTTATGCAGTGTTTACAAGAATTACTTATCATTTTAATATGCACATAGGCTGAAGCCTAAAATGCATATATTCTTATAACACCATAGTCAGGAATACTACAAAGCATGAGGGTTATCTTGGTAATCACAGTGCGTTCTGTGATTACCATGATGCTGTTCATATTTATAGATGATGATTACAACTTCTCATCAGATTTTTTTAATGGGTGATAATGGAATGGTATACGCTGGCGTGGAACCAGTGAGGGATGATAGGTGACGATAAAGCAGGTTAGTTAACGCATCGTGACAAATTCCATTAGAATTAACCACGACGGAGTTATAGGGAGAAACGCGTGAAGGTCGATCTGATAGGGTGTATTGCTAGCAATGGGTCAGTTAGACCCCATTACTGACAATCCCCTTTTCATCATTCCTATGGCACGACACAAACTTCATCCGCTAAAAACAATGTTTGGGAAACAGCATTTTAGTAAAGGGAGTTTTGGACGATGGAATTTAGGACAAGGATCAAAAAAGTTGAATAATGGATAATATAAGGAAAAAAAGAGATACCTAAATATAAATTATAATATATTAAACCTTAAAAATATATGGAAAGTATATAAACTGAGAAAATTCACAACTTAAATAATAAAAGATAATAATAAAAGAGTAAAATTATAGATAAAAAAAATTTAGATACACATTTTCTAATTAAAATAGCAATTCTTAGTGTAGCAACGTATTCTGTGATTGACGTTTTAGTTCACAATACCCCTATCAGGTAAGGAAAATACGGTCTTTGTTTTTTAATTTGTCTTGATAAGCGAACGGAACTGTTTTCGTCTTCATATGTATTCTCTCACTGGTGCCCCACCAGTATATAATAGCTGTAATAAATGATAACAGATATCATCCATCACCTTGCATTAAGAGGTTGTGGGTAGGTAGGGAAGTGATGGTAATTAATTGACATAAGTTAAATGGAAATTTTTATTCTCGCAAAGTAAGGTGGCGAATACTTTATCAGTGGGCGATCTTGTAGTACTGCCTAAAGTTAACTTTTAATGCTGTATTTACAGACTTTACGAGCTTTTTCCATGATTTTCCCATGAAAGGAGCTGATGGAGGGATGAATTTCCATTTGATCAGTTTACTCGCACCAAAATCGGACATCACTTCTGAATATAAAGCTCAAAGCTCTCTATTTGTGCCCACATAACTGGTTCCATTATCAGAATGGATTTCTGATGGTGTACCACGGCGAACTATAAATCGTCTTAAAGCCATTATTGCTACATCTGATGAAAGCGAGTGGACGATTTCAAGATGGATCGCGCGAATGGTCAGGCTCGTAAATAAGGTCACATAACGTTTCCCTCTTCTTCAACCAACTGATACTGTTACAGGACCAAAATAATCTACTCCCTCACAAATGAAAAAGGTCTACAGTGATGGGAAGTCTGGCCTTTGGAAGGTAGCCCATAGGTGGTTGGATAGTGGTAGATCATATATCACATATATTATGGTTTTCATACATTATACAATGCGGCGTGTATGTGACGAGGTGATAAGCCTTACGCACAAGCTTCGCTTGCATGTAGTAGTGTTTTTGTCGCAATGTACTCCCTAGTATCTTTCTTTCTGGGTGTTCTGTGCTGTTACTAAGATAATATGATGATTAAGAAGTAGATACTGTAAGTGCGATGTTTAAAGTGGTTCTAGATAATAATGGTAAAAGTGTAAGGGTACCCGAAGAGACTGCGCGGGCTGCCAAACGTAGACGCCGCTCACTTTAGTCCTGTCGTGATCACGACGTAGCGCATTTCACGTCAAAACGTCAGCAATAAAGAAGCAGGTATGTAGGTACTATTTACCTGCAAAGGTTTCATCGCTTTAAATCTCGATTGTGTATTTAAAATATGTGCAAACAACGCGAAATTTTAAAATTAAATTCTGCCCATTCAAAAAAAAAGATATTCCAGCGATCGGGTCGACTTGTCTATGTCGTGCCGACTCATACATCAACGACTAATAATGAATGCAATTGGTAGTTGGACGACATTAGTAGTTGGATGATATTAATAGTCGAATAGATAACATTAGTAGTCGAATTGTTTGCAAATCATTTGAAGAAACCGAATGACTTGCTTAGTCGAATAATTAGTAGTCGGTTTATTAAAGTCGCGCATCGTTTATATCGGTAGTCAGACGACATTAATAGTCGGATGACATTAGTAGTCGATTAAAAAACATTAGTACTCGATTGATTTGAAAATCATTCGTGTATTCCGAATATTTTCATATTCCAATAATAAACCTAAGAGATTCATATTAACAATTTATCAGATTAAAAATCGAATAAAATGATATGAATAAAAAAAAAACCAATTCACGACTAAAAATCAAAGCGAATGACCCTTTAAACATTCAAAGTAGGAGATTAAGAATTAATGTAATCAATTTATTAAAAACCAATTAGTTTTATTATAAAATCGATTGTAAGAAGTTATAATCGATTTAAATAACTGTCAATTTTGTAATCCCTGGTACCTACTTATCTATACTCTAAAATTGTTGCTTTTTGTTTTTACCTAAATTGCTTACTAAAATTAAACAATAAAATTGTATTGGAAAAGCAAAGTGTAGTAATGAGATAAATACCTATAAAAACTTCTTAAATGGATTCATTGATTCAAGAATTACTTAACAGTGAAAAGTGCAAATCTTTGCCGGTATTTTTGGATAGGTTACATGTTTTGCTTCAGTCTAATATCGAGATAGAATCTATATCTTCATTTTTAATTGATAAAGATTTTTTAGACGAAGTAAAAAACCTTGTTGCCCATGGTTCCATACCCTTGTTTTTTGGGAAATCTCTAAAGGATTTAAAATGCATTGTTCAGGATAATGAAAACAGAAAACATGAATTATATTTTCATTATAATGGCCCAAGAAAACTGTCGATAACTTCAGTATATCTACCTTATTCGACAATTCAAGATCAAGAATATAATTGTATAGAAGATATTATTGTAGCTTTTAAAAAGCGTCTGTCATATTTAAACAAATATTTTAAAGAATTGGAAAATATTGATAGTTTATGTACTGTTGTGGAGCCTGTAAATCGAACTTTTAAAGATGATTACAGAGTAATATCGCTTGGTAATTAATAATTGTAAAATAAAATTTAAAATATTGATAGTAATATTAAGAAAAATATTGCTTTTCTATACCTCCTTCTTAACTTATTCTGTATATAGTTATACATAGTATATATAGTTATACTACATAACATAAATTATTCTGGCAGATAATAAAACATGGTTACATGTTGAAGTTACACCAGAGGGAATGGGAAATAATGTCCGTCTATTGGGGAAAGGTAGAGAATGGAGTGAAAAGCTTCAGAATAAACTTTTATTATGGGATCATGATACAAATGTTGTTGAAAACATTATGACTTTATTCGGTAAGAACATATCTATTTTTAACTTTATTATACCTTGATAGTGATATTGATAACTTTTTTATTTTTAGCTTATTTGCTTTTGGCCACAAAAGAATATCAGTGTTTTGCTCTTTTGAGGGCAAAGCAATAAACTGAGTTCTAAACATTTTGTGTTGCTATGGCACACACATGAATGGAAAATTTTGTTTTTACTTTTTTTTTTTTGTATATGTATTTTTAATCTCTTATTTGTGTATACGAGGACTACACTGAAAATTTTTAGAACTGGTTACTTAAAAGCAATATAATAAAAAAAATTGTTAAAATTTTGAAAATGGAACTCTTTATGAATAATACTGACTATATAATTTGTCATTTGTTTTATGGTTTGGCGACAAATTGAAAATAGTCTGTGTAATGTTATCATGAACTTAATAGGAGAAAATTTTCATATGATAATTTTTTACGACTTTCAATGTCATCTACTCAACAAGAAAGTTATGATAGACTATGATTGACCTTTCATGATGAAGCCCATCTCGTGCCACTGTTTACAACTGGTTTAATGAGTTTAAACGTGGTCGCACTAATCTCACCGATGGTGTGCGTGAGGGACGGCCTTCTGTGGCGACGACTGAAGATAACATTAGTGTTGTGCGGCGTATGATAGAGACTGATAAAAGAGTGATCTGTCAGCATATCTGGGCAAGCTTAGGGATTTGTATCAGTCAAGTGCACAAAATCCTACATGAACATTTGGGGGTCAGGAAGCTTTGTACCCGGTGGATACCTCATAATTTGATTGAGGCTCAAAAACTCCGTCTGTTGATTGGTGCTGTGTGATGGATGTGGAATGTTACAGGAGACCAATAATGTTATTTAATATTTAAATATTTTATTACGTACAATGTTACAACGATTATTTTAGTGACAAGACGCAAGTCAGTTTATTTCTCTATTTAATTGAGCTGTAGGTCTATGGCCGTGTACAACCTCTTTCTTACACTCCTCCTCACGGCATAGTATCTACCTACTGTAGGAGTCCCAGCTCTTGGCGACAGTATTCATATTTAGGACGAGGCAAAGCTTTTGTAAAGATGTCCGCTATCATATTCCCTGTTCCTAGGTATGAAAGTTGCACCACATTTTGTTGCACCATATCTCTTATAAAATGTTGGCGGATATCGATATGTTTGGATTTGGCGCTAATAATAGGGTTCATTGCTCACTGTTGTGCGGCTTGATTGTCGTTGTGAATAGTAATTCCTTTTTGTTTGAAGTAACCCAAATTAGTCAGAATATTTTTCAAATGAACAGCCTCTTTTGTACATTCGCTCAAAGACATGTACTCGGCTTCCGCCGTTGAGAGTGCTACAGTCCTTTGTTTTCTTGACTCCCAACTTATGACCGCACCGTTCTTTATAAAACAATGGCCGGTATATGACCGTCTATCTAATGGACACGATGCCCAGTCGGCATCTGCGTAACCCTTTAAAATTTTATCTCCATTCTTGTGGAATGTTAATTTTAAATCTATTGTACCTTTTAAGTATCTAATTACGCGCTTTGCAGCTGCCCAGTGTTCTTTTCCATAATACGCATTGAATTGACCAAGATAGCTAACAGCATGAGCTATGTCTGGTCGCGTGGCAACTGACAGGTACATGAGGGCTCCAATCAAGTTTCTATAGGGTAAGTTCGAATCTGGATGTTCTTCTTTCTTTAATTTTAATGCTGTCTCCATAGGAGTTGCCACAGGTTTTGCATCTTGCATGGAGAATTTCTTAAGGATATCTTTAATGTATTTCTTTTGATTCATAGTAATTTTTTCTTTATCCTGTTTAAATTCTATACCTAAACAGTATTTCAACTCTCCGATGTCTTTCATTTCGAACTTTCTCTCTAGTGCTTTCTTTACTTCTTTTAATATTTCTGAACTTGAATATGCTATAATTAAATCGTCAACATAGACTGTTATTATTATTTTATCTCCTCCTTTCTTCAATAGGTATATGCAAGGATCTGCATTACATGATTCAAAACCTATATCTTTTAATTCTGCATCTAATTTTTTATACCATTGGCGTCCGGATTGTTTTAATCCGTATAAAGCCTTTTGAAGCTTGCAAACTTTTTTTTTTAATATTTCTAATATCTTCTAGCATCCGTTTAGCCTTATTGAAGAATGTTAAATCATTTTGACTACTTTCGTCAACCATAATTTCCATTACATATTTTTCTAAGTAAGGAGGCATTTTCATTTGTATATTTTCTTCTAGCTCTCCATTAAGATACGCTGTAGTGACATCCATTTGATCTAATTTTAGATTATCCTCTATGGCTGAACTAATGACTGATCTAACAGAACTTAGTTTCACAACGGGGGCAAATGTTTCAGTATAATCTACACCAGGTTGCTGTGTGAATCCCCGCGCTACTAACCTAGCCTTCTTTATTTCAGTGTTATCTGCTTTCGTTTTTATTCTTAATATCATTTTGTAATCTACTTCATTGATACCTTTTTCTTTCTTTGCTATTGTCCACGTTCCGTTTTTAATGTGTGCTTTTATTTCAGCTTTGATAGCATCGTGCCAACCTGTATCATTTTCATCGTGTTCACCAAGGTAAGCCATTTCTGTCACGTGCATGCTCTCATCTGTATCATTTTCTGCTTTGTAATCTTTCAACCATGCTGGTCTCTTTTTATCTCTTTGTGGTCTTTTATGTTGTGACGTTCTGGGTTCTATATTACTAAGATTATCTTCTTCCTCAGTTAGCGTTATGGGTTCTTCATTTGTGGTATTATCGTCATCATTTTGATCAGAAACTATAGGTTGAATTTGTTCATCTATTTGCTTCGTATCTATTTGTTCTGAATTTAATTGTATATACGACTTAATACCTTCTTCGTTTTCATTTGTTTTTATTTCTTCGTAATATAAATCTTTTAAGAATTTTACGTCTCTACTTATAACGACTCTTTTTAATTCTGAGACCCATATTCTGTAGCCTTTCGTATTTTCGGAGTAGCCGACAAAAAATCCTTTCTTGGCTCTGGGTGAAAATTTTCTTAAATTTCTTTTATTTAATACAAAAGCTTTTACTCCAAAACATCTGAAATGTCTCACTGATGGAGTGTAACCAACCCATATCTCGAAAGGTGTTTTTCCATTTGTGGCCTTGGAAGGCACTCTATTCGTTATATAATTCGCCGTGTGTATAGCTTCGGCCCAAAAACTTTCTGGTATTTTTGATTCGATTAACATGCATCGAGCTTTTTCCAAGAGAGTTCTATTTCTCCGTTCAGCTAACCCATATGTTGGGGCGTATAAGGAGCTGATAAGCGTCGAGCTATGCCGTTTTCCTTTAAATACGTGTTGAATTCGTTATTAACATATTCCTTTCCGTTATCTGTCTGCAATATTTTTATTTTATTTCCTGTATATCTTTCCATTTCCTTTTTATATTCTATAAATTTTACTAAAACTTCATTTTTATTTTTCAGAAAATAGACTCTGCCATATCTGCTGTATTCATCCGTAAAGGTGACGAAGTATCTGTGATCTCCGTTACTATTAACGGGCATTGGACCACACACATCTGAGTGTATAGTATGTAGTTTTTGAGGAGCTTTTGTTTCTTCAGGCCTTTCCTTCGGTAAAGGTAAATTCGTCATTTTTCCTTTTACGCAACTTTCACATTCTTTTAATTTGTCATTCTCATTAAAATCAATGCCTTTTATTATATTATTTCTCATAGCTCGTTTTAAATCATATTCATTTAAATGTCCTAGTTTTTTGTGCCATATGTCTATATCTGATTCTTCTTTATAGGCTTGATTTGCTTTTTCTTTTGTGCTTAAATTTGCATTCACATAATAAAGTTTATCTTCCTTCCTTGCTGTAATTATTGGTTTTCCATTTGGATTTTTAATAATTGCATTATTCTTTGTAAATAATACGTTAAAACCATTTTCGTGCTACGGATATCAAATTAGTTGATAACTCTGGAATATATAAGGTATTGTGTAAATTTACTGTTTCATTTTTAATTTTTATCTTTACTAACCCTTTGCCTTCTATCTTTTCTGTTTTATTCGAGGCTAACTTAAGTGTTCCATTTTCTTCTTTATTTATGAACACGAAAAGAGATTTATCATTGCACATGTGGGATGTGCACCCACTATCAATGCACCATTTATTATCATTTTTATTTTCTATAGTATAACAAGATTCAGTACAATATAAATTTACATTTTTATTTCTTACATTTTTGTTAAAACAACAATCACTTGTTTTGTGTCCAAATTTGTGACAGTTGTCACATTGTATTCTATTTTCATTTGAATTCTTATTTTTGAATTTTTGAAATCGATAAGATTTTTGTTTATGTTTCCCTCCATAAAATGCTTCTTCTTCTTCCTCCTTTTCCAGATTTTTATTTAAACGAGCTTCACTTTCTTCAATAATTTTTGTTTTGAGTTCTTCGAGGTACGGAAGTTTGTCACGGGACTCGATTGCCACTCTGAAGTTCTCGTAGGAATCTGGCAAACTGTATAATAACATTATGCTCAGGAGGTCTTCATTGATGCTGATGTCCATGTCTTTTAATTTATCCACCAAGTCGATGAATTCATTTATATGATCTCTGAAATGATGGATGTGGAATGTTACAGGAGACCAATAATGTTATTTAATATTTAAATATTTGAAAGCGTGCTGGGCCCATAACCTGATGGATGTGGAATGTTACAGGAGACCAATAATGTTATTTAATATTTAAATATTTTATTACGTACAATGTTACAACGATTATTTTAGTGACAAGACGCAAGTCAGTTTATTTCTCTATTTAATTGAGCTGTAGGTCTATGGCCGTGTACAACCTCTTTCATACACTGTGAAATGCATGAAAGATTTACCAGAGGTGACTCAAATTCTGTGTTTGACATAGTTACGGGAGACGAAATCTGGATTTACTGTTATGATCCCGAAACTAAAAGGCAGTCAGCTCAGTGGGTGTTTCCTTCCGAGGAGTTGCCAACTAAAGTGAAGAGAGGTAGAAGTGTGGGAAAAAAGATGGTGGCCTCGTTCTTTGGAAGGACAGGTCATTAAGTGACAATTGTTTTAGAGGATCGAAACAGATACTGCAGAGTGGTACAGTAACAATTGTTTAACACGTGTTTTGGAAAAAGTGCGTGAGAAACGACCTCGCAGTAGGATCCTCCTTCATCATGATAATGCTTCGTCGCACACCGCCAGGCAAATGATCGATTATTTGGCGACCACAGACGTAGAACTACTGGGTCATCCGCCTTATATCCTTATAGCCCCGACCCCGCACCTTGCGATTTTTATTCCGAAAAATAAAAGAAAAACCTCAAAGAAAACGTTATATGGATGCCGAGGAAGCTGTGGCTACATTTCAGAAGGCCGTCGAAGAGATCCCTAAGGACGAGAGGGCAAAGTGCTTTTCTCAGTGGCTCTATCGGATGCAGCGATGTATTGACGTAAATGGACACTATTTTGAAAAGATAAAATAAGGGTAAAAACTTGCTAATTTAATCAGTTTTTGATTTTCTAAGCACTTTCAGTTTGACTAAAAATCAAATAAAATGATATGTTTGTTGGTATTTGTGTGCTGTAATGTAAAAGTAATGCAAATAAATTAGATATCTATTTGTCTGTTAATAAAACCAGATATTAACAAGTTATAACAAATGATAATGCAACTTGATTCTCATAATTAGCAACAAGATGAAAAGTAGTTGTTTGCTAAATATCATGATATTTAATTGGTTACATCCAGAAGTAGCAAACTAATAAACTTTCACATAAGTAATAAGAATTTGAATAATTTAATAGAGGCAAATAGCTTTTATTTTTACATTTGATTGGTTTAATATTGGAACAACTATTACTTTTTATAATTTACAGATGTGATAAATTATGCTGCTCCTTCTTACCAAGAGTCTAGTTCACAAAAAGTAATTGAAAAAGTTCCTATTTGTAATATTTGCCTCAGTGCCCAGCTGCCAAACTCATCTGAAGTGCCACAATCTTTCTGTTCTAATTCTAACTGTGGTGTTTACTTCCATAGAAATTGTTTATGCCAGGTATAAATAAACATTTCTATTCATAATGTAATTTCAATAATTATATTTTTTATTGTTAAAAGTTTTGTAAGTACTCGTTATATTGTTAATAACTACCAGTTTAACTTACATGTAATTTGGACAAGAAAGCTCGACTAAATTGGGGACCATTCATTTGTGGCTGAGATGCATAAGTAGCCTTGCACTCACATCACCCCTGCTACATCAAGGGTCCAGAAGCTTGTATGCTTAGTCTTTCTTGACTTAATTACACACAAGTTAAACTGGTAGTTATTAATAAAATAACATTTATTAGCTCTATTAATTAACCAACTAAATTAAACAATTTAAATGCTATCTTATGTTTATAATTCTACGGAGCTTCCTTGATTTGTCTCGCTTTCGAGGCCATATATTTGTCTTTTTATATTTTTTAGTTGTTGTCCTATACATATTTTACTATTTTGTAAGTACTTGCAATTAGTGATGTGATTATGTTTTTGGTTTCTTCAGTGGTTGACAGTAAGTAATAGTGGTCGAAATACAGATTTTGGAATTGCAACTGGAAAGTGCCCAAGCTGCTTTCAACTTATTTCATGCATTGGAAAGGAGGGCTGATCTTCAGTTATCACTTGGAATTTTTTTATTGTGATGTAACACAATCTTTTTAAAAATGTAACTAATTATATTTTTTTATTAATGTTTTCTTGTAAGTATAAAATTATTTAGAATGTAAAGATAAATAAAATAAGCTCGTTTTGTTATTAAAAATTTTCAATTTTTTTTATTTGACCTCTTTTACTGATACTTTGTATGTGTGGATGTTGGTAGTAGGTAACTTTTTAGATGGTGAATCAAAAATATACAAGTTTTTAAGTCAAACTTGTGAGGAACGCAAATGTGAAAACCACTTTTTCTTTTCGTGCAGTAAATTCTGCGTAATTACAGAATAAACATAGTGAAACATATATAACATAGGGACAGAAATTATTGTTTTGATTTATATTAGGAAGGTGTAAACTTACAAAATTTGACGAAGTTATTGAAAATCATCAGTTTAGGTTATTATAATTTGCATGTGGCATATTGATTTCTATTTGATTTGCAAATTTGATATGCTTATGAGTTTTTTAGCAAAAATGAATCCATTATGAGCATAATAAACTATACAATTAAATTCTCTACTTATTTATTCTCAGACTATGAGTCTTTTTGGCTATATCAACTAATAATATTATATTAAAACACCAACAAATTGAATGGATCAAGTAGTTGTGCAGAATGAACTGATTATGTATTTCTATAGGGTATTTTTGAGGTGATATGGGAATAGTAAAATCCTAATGTATGCCTTTACTTTTTAATTAAAAATTACGTAGACATAATATTTTGTGGTTACATAGAATAATTCAGTATAAACAATATTAAGAAGTAATGCTTGCACCAGCTGTTCATATTTGTGATTGCTGATTAACATTTTTCTTATGATGTTAATATGCAATGACATTGCTATACCCACATGGGTGTTTTTTGCACAACAAAATAAATTGAAAATAAAAGCGTGTTAATCAGACATGTATGCTGTTTTTAACTGGAGAACATTTTCACATGACAATTTATTATTATTAGACTGTAATACATTCTAATTCAGGATTATTTAAAACAAACTGGGTAGGCATTTAGTTCGATTGTGAAATGAATTTTACAAGCTGTGGCAGTGTAATCTAAATTGTCATGTAAAAGTAATGAAGTGTTGGCTATCTTATAGAATAAATTCATCACAAGGGTACAGTATCAAAGGTACGAGGAGTGAGACTGGTGCTGGAGCCAGGTGCTTCACCAATTTGGGGTCCAGTATCACGGCCAGTGTTCTGAAAAATAAAATAAAACAATTTGGGTGCAATTCAGTATGTAGACACAATTATTTTAAATAGCTATACTATGATTATATACTATACATATTAGCATCACAAAAAAATAAAAGAAAAAATACAATTTTTAATGTATTTTTTTTTAAGTTCTAATTATGATTATTAGATTGACTTGGACTGGAACAATTTTAATTGAAATGTTCCTTTACAGTAAAAAAAATGCCAGTGTCATCTGCCTTATACTTTAGGGGTGCACAAAAATGAAATTTTGTCAAAATATAATCTTTATGGACATACGATTTAAATTCTATATTGCTCATTTTTCACATTTTTTGTTTATGTACTATAAACAAAGTGGGCAAAATATTTTAGTTTTATATTTCTATAAATATTATTAATTTATTTTTAAGTTTATTAAACAGTTTGTATACATAGCAGCTGGGCAATATTTCAACAATCTACAATTTCAACAGCAAAAGTGGAGGCTTGTACTCAAATAAATACAATTGGACAATTCTTAATATGAAAATAAAGAAGTTAATAAATAGATAGAGACCCAAAGTATCTATTGGTCTGTTATTTTATGGCAATAAAATTTAGACTGAGATGGAAAAGAACATTAATTACAGCAGTGTAGATAATTTTAGAATGAATGAACAACAAAAGATGAAATTATAATCTGTTGAATCACCTTACCTTAACATGAATTTGATTTTTGAGCATAGCAGCACGTAGGATCAGCATGGATGTCCGTCGCTGATACTCTTTTCCCATGGAGAGACTTCTTTCAAAGGTAGTGCTCCTCTGATCCACATCTTTAGCATACAGGATTTTATTATGAGAATCTATGCGAGCTTGAATTTGCCCATCGAGTATTAATTGCATCAGTTCATCTTCTAGAGCATTAACAGTGCGATTAAAAGCAGCAGCCATTAAACGCATATCTGCTGAGAGGTATGGACTGAAGTACTGAATCAATGCTCTGTTACGTATTTGCATGTAAAGGGAATTTAAGTGAGGAGCTAAATACATATCTAATAGGAGATTGTCTCTTATTTCATCCAGTAACCTTAGGCAGGATGCATATTTAGATTCATAAAATTTAAATATTATGTCACGTAACTGCGGCTCTAGTTCTAAGAATAATTTAAAAGAACTGCTAACTATGACTTGCTTTTGTAACTCTGAACGATCAAAAGTTGCCAGAGCACATAGTCCCCCATAAACAGCAACATTGTTGCTACTCAATAGCTCTGAATAATCACAATGGTCAATACTGGCTGCTAAGAAGTGCTTAGCAGCAGACTTATACTTTTTTGTAGCTAATTCAGCTAAGCCGGCAGCACATTTTAAACGAGTTAGAATAGACTGGTTTGTGTCTTTCCCTGGCACTTCATTAAAATCTGGTGTTCCTTCCGCTTTGGATACATAATTAAGAACATGTGCCCAATTTTGCAAGTATACTGACACTTTAACTACATTGAGGCACATCATTATAATGTGTTTTCCACTAGTACAATAATCCCTGGCTCTTGAGTAGCACTTTAAAGCACTAGTTAGGTCACCACAATCAAGATAATGATCTCCTAAATCATCATGTCCTCTTCGAATACTCTCTTTTATTGAATTTGTTTTATAATTTTTGAGGTCTGTGTCCAATTTTTCAAGCTTAATGGCTGCTTTTTTAGTTTTAGATTCAACCCACATAGTATCAAGTACTGGGATATCTTGTGATCCCATTTGAACAGCAACATCAGGTAGACCTGCAGATGCTACTGCCTCAGCAAGTTTTTTATGAAGAGTTTGGTACAAGCTTACATTATATGTAGTCATAACATGTGATATTGCCATTTTAAGAGCTTCCAATCTTAAAGGTGGACAATGGTCTGCCACAAACATTAATCTGTACAACTTGGCAAAGCCAGTATATGAGGCTGCATATGTCTCTAGATCTAAAGTAGGATTTTCAACGACGTAGCATTCTGTTTCATTGTTTTCGTTATCTTCTAATGGAACATCCACTTGCATGGGTTCCGCCGTGTTCTGAAAAACAATGACAGAACAATTACCCTTCAAATGTGTACAGTAATGATGTGAATACGTTTTAAAATGTAAATCATAAACGAGTAACGAAATCATTATTGAAATACAAATGCTTTAAACTTACCATTTCGAACATTTTATGTCGTATATTAGATTTTTAAAAGAAAATACGCGAATTCCACTGTCAACGCAAGAAACCAACCTAAAACAAAGCGACATTTAAATATATCCACTTTTTTTAACTTTTGTGACTGGACAATATTATAAACTTTAATTGAGACTTACACATCTGAAGAAAGTTATAAGATGATTCTATCACCATGAATTATTATTAAAATACCTTTATCATTACGTTCCTTCTTGGCAGCGGCATTTTTCTTTTGACGACTAAGTTTTTTTCTGCGTTTAATCAAGGCGCAGTAAACGGCAGTACGTGTATACAGCTATATTCTAATCTACCTACTTATTAATTTTTTTGTAGAGGCAACTGGCAATTACGTAATTTATAGGCTAAACTATACATCATATAATATTTAATAATATGACTAAGAATAACAATATATATTTTTTTTGTAATTCAATATAAAATATGAATTATTATATGTATTCTTGAATATACTTACCTATCTAAGACAAGAGTAGGTATATAGATTGTCATTGTACTAAGATTGTACAAGGACATATTTAGTTTGTACTTATTAACTTTATCTATTATATACACATCTTACATCTAGGTATGTATTATAAATATTAAAAATAAGATTTAAAAAAATCTTAGAGATAAAAAATTTCTTTGAGATCATTGCCAACTGGTACACACCTAGTAGACTTGCATGTATATATTTAGATATGAATTGATATTATTTTTTACAATTTGTAATGATTGATTAGCGATACTTGTCTATAAAGAAATAAAATGTGATAATATTTAAAACTAACAGAATTATTCATCGTGCCTCCCACCAAATTGTTTATAATTACTCTTCTCTATCCAAAGGTTGCCTGGAAGAAATCGCTTTTAGCGATAAGGTCACCCATTGTTTTCTCATTGTGATTATTTCTTGTAATTGTTTCTATTTATAATAAGTTTACTATTGTAATCTTTTGGAGGAAACAATAAAAAGTATCGATCTATCTAAAATATTTAATTAACAATATAAAGTAATACATGTAGGATCATATAGGATAAAATGCATAATAACTATAGAATAACAACAAGGAAGATATTAAGTAGTAGTATTTTTAAAAGTGTATTAAAAATTTCAATTTTTTTAATCAAATTTAAAATGTAGACGTTTGTGTAACCTCATCAAATTCAAATACAACCTGCTTGCATACTTTCTATATGAACTGTATCGAAAAAATAATCAAGGTTTGTGGTAAATTCATGTTTAGAATCACGTAGGTATATATATCTGTGGTTCTTTTTTGTTGTTTACATAATGGTTACATCTAAGAACAAGGAATTACATAGAAGGAGTGATAAAATTGTCAATTTACAGCAGACTAGTGTATAGAAAATGTTATACGACCGTATAACCCTACTAAACTCAGATACAACCTGCTTGCATACTTTCCACATAAACTGTGTCAAATATATAATTTAGTAATGTAAAATTTGTCATTGATAAATAATTGACATATCAAATGTTTTCTATACACTAGTCTGCTATGAATTGAAAAAATGACAACTGATGGTGTATCTTTCATCCTCTTTTTACTAATTATATTTGTATAAGAAGAAAGGAGGTAACCATATGATTTACAGTTTTTATTTTACCATTCCTTCTATGTAATTCCTTGTTCTTAGGGTTACATTTAGTGGTTACATGTAAAACCAAAGTGTAAAACCATATGGTATAACTAAGGTTTTAGGTGGTGATTAGATCAATTAGATAAAAATGAAGGATAAGTAATGTATCAATTTGTAGAAAAAATTAACATTTATGTAGAAATAAAAAAAAAATTGCATTTGACAATTCTGCTCCTTCGAGAATTGGCGGTCATTATGAAATTTGTATGGAAAAAACGGCGTGCAACATTTAACTTGACGGACGCGTTTTTTTATTACGATTTTTATATTTTACTTTATAGGTAGTATAATGATCGTGATAGTGTAGTCAGTTGTTAATTCTTTTCCTTTTGTATTCGTATTTATAATTTCTATATAAATTTTGTCGCTGTATTAGTAAGTTGCTCATTTTCAATCATTAAGTGACCTCAAAGGGCTATGAATGATCCTTCTGATCCTGACCCGGGGGGATTTGTCTCCCCGGCAGCAGTAGCGTAGTTACCGGAGAGCTAGATGAATCAGTGCCCAGGGGGTTCTTCGGACTCTAACTTACAAACTATAAATTGAACTAATGAAAATTTCTTCTACATTTGGAATATAAATAAATAAGATTCATTTGAATATTTAAATGTAACTACATAATTATGTTTTGAATTTATTGTATATTTATTATGTTTCGAACTCGATATACTCCAGATTTTTCGTAACGCAGATTCGTTGTAATTATATATATCTGTGCTTTCTTTTGTCCAGATTCTTAGTAAAACGTATAAACATTCAAGAAAGTGGTGTTATTGGCTTAAAAATCTCTATTTAATTATGATTCCGTACCCAAAGGGCGTTCAACGGCACCTTATTAACGTGCCTAGACTGTTTGTAAGTCTGTCACAGGACTATATATTTTGAATGGTAATAGGTAGATATTTTCTTTTATTTTCATAAATTAGTTTTAATTTGTTTATTAAAATTAGTTACAATTTGTATTTGGTTTTAAATTATATTATGGAGTCGACAGCATTACCGAGGATTAACTTCATGGGACAGATAAAGGAAACACTAGGCGTCATGTCAAGAGGAAACTCTTAAATGAAAAGAAGAAAGAACATTACGACGAATTTGGAGTACAATGAAACTGGATTATGACAAATCTGGAGTACGTCGAACTCGGAACATAACGAATATGGAACAAATGATTTTAAAAAGTTTAATTGGGGCTCTAGTTTATTTTTTGCCGCAGGGCCATTGGTTATTTAGTTATGCCACTGTCCGGCAGGTAACTTTGTTACAATTTCTTGTGAATCTGACATAGATACACATGCTTCTGGGTCATTCCTCGCAGTAAAACGTAGTCGATTTCAAAATGTATGTAAAAATTACAACAAGCGTAAAAGGAAAAATTCCTCTGATATTAAAATCACAGATTGCCATTGTACAGAAAATGGTTTCTCAGAAAATGTTCAAACACCGGCCCCTAAATCAAATTCTGTAAAAATTTGGATCTCCCAAACCACCTGCATCTGCAATCACTTCAGAGTCACTAAGCAGGAAATTTTACCTGCCCACGAACAATGCTCCATATGTAGTACATGTTTTTAGAGGGGAGGCATCTCCAAATGATAGTACTATAATTCATCCCATTACCTTTAAAATATCTCTAAAAGACAGTGTTTTCGTAACATCATCAATGGAAGTGTTAAACGTATTGGGCGTAATAGAATATTTTTTCCAGTTTACTACGATGCCAATATTTCACTTCAATATTTATTTTATTTCAAGAGCTCCACCGACAAGAGCGCAGCTCTTAAATGGATAGATAGATAGATTTATTTTATATCACTTTAGTCCAACAATTTAAAAGCATTTATACAAATCTTTGACATAATTCGGATGGTTTTAGTAAGAGGTATCCTTTCAAAATGGAGTCCAGAGGAGATCATTCAGAATATTTCCGTTCCGGATGTGGTAAAATAAATAAAGCCAGACGACTAAATTTTTTTGTGATTGTGGTAAAGATGCAAGCGATCTAAATCATATTTTTTTTCCTACTCCTTATATGATCATTCCTCACTCATTAGTAAGTATCTCATTACATTAAAAAATCCTTTTCCTACATCCATTTTATGTTTGTTACCTCATTCTGACCCTTTGATCTATAAACAATAATAATATAACTGCTTAGGTTCTTTTATTCCTCATGGTAACATTAAACTATAACTATTACTAATATCAAATTCCTTTCTGTTCCTTTTTGATATCATGTAGTGATGGGACTCGAGTGATTTTTTTTCACTCGAGTCACTCGGTACTGATATGTTACTCACTCGAATGCCACTCGAGTGAAGATAAAACTCGAGTGATTTTTATTGACTCGAGTCATCAAAATTTTAAAACGAATGAAACAGTATTAATTTTACATAGAAAATGTGTATTCATTTTCTCAAAAAAAAAAAAAAAAAATCTAAACAAAATGTAAAAAATAGAATTTTCCTTCAAACTAAACCTGTCATACATAATCAAGAAACCTCTTATATCAACTATCAGTCAAATTAAAATATTATACCATAATCTACTACTAATAAGTTCTAATCCAATTTAATTTATTCTAACAAGGAACTTTCATGAGATCCAAATATAAACAGTTTTATTATGTTCTTACACAATTTATGTATAATATACGTGTTTTAAAATTAACTTAAATAAAACTTAAATAAACTCAACAAAAAAAAAAACAAAAATAATGTATCTTTAATGAGATAACAAATTTAACTGAAATTGGTGTAATAACTACTTTAAAAAAATAAATTGATAAATTTTTTCCCTACCAAACGGCTTCGATAATATCGACTTCAGCACACTTGCTAAAATAATAGAAGAATGTTTCTCCGTAACCTCTTTAGTAGTAACAGTTTGCGAAAAAAGTTTTGAATTATAAGTATTGTAATAGTTAGGTATGCTTTATTATTTTCAGAAGTCCATAAATCTGTTGTAGCAGCCGTATATTCAACTAAATGTAGAATATCTACAATTATAGTGCGTGCGGCATGACAAGCATCAGGAAGAATTTTCTCTCTTAAAAGTTTCCTGCTACCGCTGGTAAACTTTTCACAATTTGAATTTCTCATTCAGTTCGGTATAAACCACTCGAGTGGTACGAGTCAACTCGAGTCACTCGTAATTCGAGTCGACGCGAGTCACTCGAAACTCGAGTCGTCAAAAATTTAACTCGAGTGCATGTAATATAGAAAGTACTCGAGTCACTCGAGTGAAAAGCAACTCGAATCCCATCACTAATATCATGTCTCGTTTCCTATTTGTTAGTAGCATAATGGGCAACATCAACCCTTTGCCATATATTAAAAAAAAATACGAATGGAAAAAGGGCGGGAAACATAAAGTTTGACGGTTGAGTTTTTCTGTTTTATTATTTTTTTCTATTATATTTCTATTATAACGATCTGATAAGTTGCGAATAACATTTATTGTTATCTATCGTGTTTTTGTATGTATTAATCTTGAATAATAATAGCTGTAAGCTAGGTACATTTTTGTATATATTTTTCAGATTTTTCCTTAATATTTGGCAACTACTGGCAAAACTCTTCTGAGGAAGGCTTATGTTTGGCAGTGGACAGTTAAGGGCTGATACGATGATATGGACTTTTTCATGTAAATACATATTTGCAATAATGAAAACTCTGTCTCCTTAGATTGTTCTGTAAATTTTTCTGATAATTCTGGAACAAAACATAAACGTAAATCGGTTGCCGTCAATGTTTGTAAACATTGCAATAAAAATCGTCGGAGGAATCGAGGTGGTGAAAATAATAAGCATAAAACTTCAAGTGAATACTCAATTCAGAGAAGAAAGCCAACAAAAATCTAATAATAATTGAATAAATAATTAGGAGAATGATTCTCGTTCACATAACTTTACTAGTAGAGTTTATTATTATTTAAATATAGAGATTCTTTTACAAATAGTATGAACTTAAAATCTCATAATTATAAAACCTTACCAGCATTTAATTTAAGAAGGATGGGAATAATAAGGGGTATCTTACCTGTCTGGTTCGATAAGGAAATTATGGAAAATAGTCAGTTTTATTAGGTTAAATTTTGAATGTTAGACGTTTATAGAGAAAATCTCTCGTTAATAGTAAATCTGAATTTGTAGAGACTGAAACGGTTATTATAATTTTTGACGGTCAAGTGTTACCTAATCTAGTTTTCATATGTATTAATTCATTACCTGAATTATATGTACATATACCGTACCATTCAGTTTTATCATTGCTGTAGGTATGGGCACATTAAAAATCAGTGTAGATTACTTCCACGTTGTTATAAGTATGACCAGGGCCACTGTGGAAAATCCTACTCTGTCCAAGAAGAATATTTTTACAGTTGTTTATATCAAGGAATATATAATCAGGTAAACAGTAAAAAGTATCTAGAATTTTTAAGGCAATTAAGGAAACAATAGTTAAAAGCTGCATCTCCTGTGCTGAAGCTTTCAAGTTGCATATTTTGTCTATTAAATCTTATGCTGACACACAACGATCTAATCCAGTTATTGTAACTAGCACAGTAAACTCTGATCATAAATAAATCTTATAAAAAATATAATATAAAATATATAAGATACGTAATAAATTTTTCGATATACCTTTACTACGAATTACGTGAATTTACTGGCTACAGAGGAATAACACATGAGTTCTCAGGAATGGCAACGTATGGGGGGTATCATGGGCGAAACAGTATACTCTGTTATGTCCATGGTACTGCTCATGTCTATAGGCGACGGTTACCATTTTCCATCAGGTGGACCGTCAGCTTGTTTGCCATTCTAAGTTGTATAAAAAAAAGGTAGGATTAACAATAAAACTGATGTTTCCATACTGATTTTTTTAGACGCACCGTTGTCTCCTTTACGCCACTAGTATCCGAGCGCGCGCCGCCCTGCCGCGCCGGAACCGGCCGCCCGGCGCTGTCATCGCCGCGAGCCTTAGCAGCAGGGCCTGAGTTGCGCTGCCTGCCGAAGACTGCCGCTGCGCTGAACTCGATCTCGTTTGCCACGTCACCTCTTCTATGTTGCCGCTAGGTTGTCAGTTGCAGCTGTAGGTTGAAGGAATTGGCCTTCAAGAGATAGTTTACCTTATCTTTTGAAAGCAAAATATGTAACAGTGTAACCCTGTAATTTTTAATAAAGATTTATTATTTATTTATTTAATTACAGAATACAAAATATAGTATGTTAAATTGAATTATTAGTTTTATTATTTATACAATTCATAAATATTTCAAATAAAATAGATTTGATATATAATGACGCTATAATAATGCCGCAGTATTGATTCTGAAATATCTTTCACTAAGATTGTGCTTATAGTTAGTGAATTTTAGAGATAAAATAAGAGAATTTTATGTAGAAATAAGCCTCGATATAGATCTCACTCTAGAAAGTGGAATTAAATAACTATTTAATTAATAAATACAGTGCCAAAAATAGGACAGAATCTAGTATTCCAAAAAAAAAAAATTTTATAGCGCCTTTAAATATATAGACTTCAGTGACTCTTTTATTATTCCGCCGAATCGCTGCAGTATGCAATTTATACACATATTCATACTATATTATTCATAATATGGATAAAATCATATTACGTCGACTCCAAATAATAATTGGGATAATGGTAGGGAGATAATGATTCATACTATGAATATTCAACTTTGCTTAGTAGACATAACATATATATTGATATACTTAAACTCGTGGTAAATAAATTAGTAACTAGTAAATTAATAAATTATTGTTTAATAAGTTATATATATATATATATATATATATATATATATATATATATATATATATATATATATATATATATATATATATACCTCTATTAAACATATATATATGTGTGTGTGTGTGTGTGTGTGTGTGTAGTATATATGTCTCTGAGAGCAATATATGAATTTTACAATTGCTACTTTTCAAATTGTTATTATTATTCATACATTTTTATATGATTAATTTCATTCTATTATACGACCTTAATAAGTTATACATTTTTGGCATATTTGATATCCTTTAGGTCAGTTAAACAGCAGCAGTATTGCAGAATGAGTTTCTATAGAGGATGAAATCATCTCTCATTTGCTGCATCTTATTTTTATTGTTTATATTCATAAATTTTTAAAAGACCATTGCATTACGTACATAATTTATTATTGGTAAATATGTATTGCATTTCGGCTAAGGTGAATTATGCTTTGCGGACGAAGTGTGTGTCTTTTAATCATTGATTACAAGATTATTGTTTCAATAATTTTTTATACGATTAACCATTGTATAACGTGACTCATTATTAGATTATAATGGTGTTCGTAAGTTTAGTTTCAGTAACGCCGTATCGCAGAACGATTGCATTTTGCGAACAACGCATGCGTCTAATAGACATCGATTTAAAACCTCTTGTCAAAAATATAACCAAACAAAATAAAATGTTAAGTCTAACAATCATTCTCTTAATTATTTACAAGACATTTATGCAGTCACTGAGATTAACAAGTCAAGTTTTTAGAAAAGGTAAGTCTGTTATCTTACAGAGTATGTATCGATTGACACACCTAAACATGAAACTTGGGATATACTTGATGCTGCGAACTTCTTAGTTATTTTTAAAGATTTTATTTTTATTGTATTTTTATACTTTTGTTTTTACAATAGTCACTGTTGCTCTTTGCTGTCGTAGTCTATCTTTCGTAGTTTTCTTTATTATAGTTATTTTTCCTTTTCAACCCATTGTTTGATTACATCATATACATCAATATACAGTTCATAATATCACTCACACTCGAGATATTTAAGTTACATAAGTTATTGTATTTTTATTCTTTAAAATTATTGATGCAATTACCTTTTTGTATGAATTAATATGTTTTTTTTAATAAATGATTCATTTTTTAATTTTATTCATTGAAAAAGTGAAATCTGTATTATAATCACACGTGTAATTATGTCGAGATCTTTTTATTTAAAGAAATATGGGTATATGTATATGAAAGATTAAATAAAGTATAATAAAATAAATATATAAATATTATTTAAAATTTAAATATTGTATGGACTTTTAGGTGGAGTTATGAAGTAAAATAAAAATTATGGTATCCATCATTTTCTTTAACCTTATTTCAAGTGAATGTAAGTTTACTGTTAAATTGTGGCTCAACGATACAAATAAATTTTTCGCCTAAAAGTTTTACTCTGGTAGCTTGAAATTTGTACTTATAGTGTTATTTTAATACACTTATAGTGTTAGTTATTTGAATTTAAATTATGATTTATTATTTATTGTACTACCAGTACTTAGTTTTAAAGTTTTTGCGGAATGTTGATGTAACAAATGAATGAGTATTTGTTTATTTCTTTTTAGAGTTAAATTTTTAAAACGCTGTTACATATTAATGTTTCGTTGTATCCATTTCAAATACCTAAATATAAAAAAAAAACCTCATACAATCTGACATTTATTCTTCTTTCTATCTACAAAAATATTAAACTTTTCGTTATATTTATATGGATGAACGGATTTGAATTAAGTTTGGCATACAGGTGAACATGTGGCTTGATGAACATATAGGGTATTTTAATTCACGCAGGCAAAGTTGTAGATTACAGCTACCTTACCCTTTTACTGTTTCAAATTGTCCTTACTGGGTTGGGTTGGATGAGTATGAGTCAGTGAATGAATTAATCAGTAGGTATATTTTATTCTTTATAAAATAGGTATTTATATAAGTAATTGTTATAAAGGATACAATATACGCAGTACGGTTATTAAATAATATTATAAACATCATTGATATATTTAGTAGTAGCCTGCCAATGATATTAGAAGCGGCTCAGAAATATCTAGAGTCGGGTTAAATACATTTATTATAACTTTGTATGGTAGTACACTAGATTTATAATATTGATTTGGCTTTTGCTGTTATAATGTTATAATTATTTTTAATTAATAAATAAATAACTAAATATCTTATTATATAATAAAATGGTAACTAGAAGAAGTCTGTTAATGGGAGATATTTAAGAAAAATTAATGTGAGGGGTTTCAATAAGTCAATAGATTCCAAAACAATAATATTTAGAAATTTGTCTGTCTATCTGTATGTTTGATCTGCCAACATGTAAAAACTACTGCATCAAATTGAATGTCGTTTTCACAGTTGTGCTCCTGAAGAGCTAACTTACAATCTGGTGCATATTTTGTATCGATGCGTTATCTAGAAGTAGTCTATTTGATTGGTTTTCTTACATCTAAAATCCACGCGTACGTAAAGCTGGTTGAATAATGAATTTTATTATAACAGTTTACGACTAGGTTTTTAGTGTACATTGTATTTAACTAGCTACATACATAACCTTTTTGTGAAAATGTTATAGCTAAATAAGATCATAACTATATTTGTTTGGTTCTTTTGTTATCCTATTTTTATTTGACTTTTCTTAAAAAAAAAGTTATTTTCACTATACCATATCAGCCATTAACTATTCACTGTTGAAAATAGGTCATCCTGGTTTTGCCAGTAGTTGCTACGTTCGGGTTAGGAACTGTAGTCAGGCCTTGGAGATGTTTTAAGAGGGACGCTGCTGCCCATCCTTCGACCATTAAGTTCCATTACTCGTTTCTTACGACATTTATTACGACCAAAAAAAATTCTTACGACGAAAGACATTTTTAAAATGGGTTTACCTACCCAGGGTAATGATAAAAACTCTACTACTAGTAGGTAAGTAATGATAATTAGTGTAGATAATTGGACTTAGTGATTACACTAGAAAATAACTGTATGTATATATGCAGGGATAAGAGGAACTGGTCGTTTTTATTTTTTTGTAATTAGAAGAGGGCCCAAGACTTCACGACACAGGGAATCCTAGCGTGAAGTTTTGGGAACAAATGTAAAATTAAAACGTGTATTTTTGGATTTAATAAATATTATTATATTTTTTAAAAAGTCATAGATTTTGGTCATCAATATCCATAGTCTTTCGATATTTCAAAGTAAGAGCGATAACGATATATTATCAAAAACAAAACTGTTATGTTCTATTATCATTGGATCGATACCAACAATTACAAATGTGATAACAATACTTTATTAACTAATTTTATTAAAAAGATATTGAATTAAAGCATTTTCTCTTTGGTGTTAATTTTTTCACTATTACGAGTAGAACACTAATTTAGGTCGGCACTTTAACAGCGATAACGTACCTCTGAGTTTCAAGAACAACTAAATTTAAAAATACAAATTACAGATTTCAGCTTGGCCCTCCCGGCTTGACAAAACTTGATCGAAACAAGGGGCAAACAAATCTATTTGTAGATACGTTTATGCTGTTGCACGATTGAGAAGAAACAATACGCCACATGTGCTATCTCATTTTATCTTATGTGAACAGTAGCGTAAACTTACAAATAGATTAGTGGGTCACTTGTGTAGAATAGCTGGTTACCAGAACTCTTCCTTGTGATAGAGCTGGAATTAGTCCTTTGCACTTTTCCCTGTTGTATTCTCATACTTTTTCTCTTTATTGTTGGTATCGAAGTGTGAGATATACAATTGCCATTAAATGTAATACGAAGTGATCTTAACATGGCTTCAGCAGAGTTCATGGTGTCGATCATATCGAAGCCGATGTTTTCGTTTTTATAGTTAGCAATAAAACTTTACATTAGATAATCTATTTCTGGAGAGTCAAAGTGTCATGATAATATCATACACTACATCTGTAAGACTTAAAATAGTACGAGACGTCTTTATTTGTTGTTTTACAAACGATGCAGTTAACACAACTTATATGTGGTCAGTATTAGATCGCTTCTTAACATGTAGGTATCTGTTGTTATAGTGAGATTATATTTACTATATTATTCATTGACTACAAATATTGTTAATATAGATAAAGTTATATGGCAACTTTCGTAACAGTGTATTTATATAATAATCGTATGACAGTACAGTCAATGTTATGAAATGATAACATCAAATCGTGTGCTCTCGAAATTATAGTGGTTTTAGTGAATAATTCCTTTTAATCGTATAATTATAGGTGGATGGGTGGTTCGTTGACTAATTGGATAGCAATGATCACGATGAAGCTAACACTACTGTTGATTGTGGCATATTTTTTCCACTGCGAAGGTGCCGTGATTACGAGCAGTGAGGAACAGCCGGCGATCAACAATAGGCCTATTATTGGAATTCTATCACAAGAACAGTCTTTCTACCTTCAAGGGAAATATCCCAAAGAAAACTATACGAGTTACATTGCTGCCTCGTATGTGAAGGCCATCGAAGCATCAGGAGCAAGAGTTGTGCCTATATTGTAAGTTAAACAAACAATATCATAATATAAGATAGAAAAAATCGACATCGATTTAGATCAACTTAGTATAGGACAAACATGGCAATATACTTTATAGATAAAAAACAAGATAATCAAAATCAGTTAACAATTAACAAATACACTAAATACTTATACGTGTTACTGGCAATCTATATAATTCAGTATTTTATACAATATCATGGCACTGTATAGAATATGTAAAACATTTAGGTAATATATAAAATATTATATTATAATATTCATTTTGTACTCTTGCCTAGGAATTTATACAACACCGAATAATGTGTGTATAAATAAGAGCAAGGAAGGGATAACATTGGCACTTTATAAGTAGGCATAACGTTAGACACAAAAATTGAAGTAGTGTAGCAATTTAAATTCGATACAAATAGTTGTTTGCCTTTTTACGATTCATGTAAGGAGAGGTAAGAAGGTTTGATTTCCACTAAATATAACTGTGTAAGGAAAATTGGATCGAAAACAAACAGATGCACATAGATAAACTTATAAATCTCCTCTTTTCGTGTCAAGAATAGACCAGTCTGTTGATGAACTATTTAAAATAATGTTTAACTGTGTGCTGTGTATCGTGCATATGAATAAATACAAATAATTGGTACGGGTTACTTTATATTTCAATTATAGAAATCAATTTAGAAATTTACTATACAAATTAATACTCTTTATCCCAATACAATTTCCATTCGAAAATTAAATTTGAGCGCAACGTTTTATTTAAAATATCTGTTTTTAAGTTTTTTTTTAATTGGGTAAGTTTGCGCCATAGACGTAGTATGACGTAGGTTTTGCGCTATCTTGGTATTGAAAATGCATGTGTTTGAATAACAATATTACATGAATATATTAACTTTCCAAAAGTGTGCCTCTGAATTGAATCTAAAATATAAAAAATTATTAGGTCTTGTGAATGAAGATGTTTGATTTGATTATACAGTAGCGATGTATGATAACTACTCGTAATACAGTAATAGTTTGACAACAGTAATTATAATCGTGAGAAAATATTATATTATAAAATATACTATAATAAAAATACTCTCAAAGTTGGTTATAAATCAGCGTAGATATCTCCAAACTCATATAAAAGAAAAATATCATTAGGCGAATTGAGAACTGGTATTGCTAGTGCCTATAGTTTGCAGCAATATTTACCATCAGGTGAGCTGTATGCTTGTATGCTACCCTTGATAGCTGTTTGTCTTAGCCTAATTTGTAAACAGCATTTAATTCAATTTCATATCATACACGATAAGTCGCGGGTGATATTTAGTTAATAATGTTTTAAAATATTTATTTATTCACATAATAAGGTACATTTTAGTGACCATTTTTGTTTCAGAATAGGAAAAAATCGTGAATACTATAGGGATCTAATGAGCAAAATAAATGGGTAAGTGTTGTAAAATAGTTATATATCTTATAAAGTCTAAGATTATAACAAATAACAAAAGTTATAATATTGTTTAGATATTAATAATATTAGTCCCAATCGATTATAGTTTTATGAATACAAAAGATCATGTCTGAGGTGTTATTTTCTATTTACTTTGTAGCTAGTCACTATTGTCCAGATAGAATACAAAATATGTGGGATTGATTCGAGTATTTTCAGCAAAACAACTTAAAAAGTTGTTGAAAAAAAATACTTCTTTTATTTTTCGTCTTTACAAATATTTTGTCTTATTTGTATACTTTATAGTTCGTTTTTCTAAATCATTATGTTCTCTGCAATACAATGATACAACAGAAAGGTAATACACACATCCCTCTCTCTCACACACTGCCCCTCTCTTTCACTTAAAGATGCGATCATGTATTCGTTTAAAATTATAATTGCGTTACAATATATGTATTTTTTTTTCAACAAAAATAATCCTACATATATGTGTACATTTATTATATATTTCATTGTCATCAGATAATCATCTCTTTCTTACACGAAGTTTCACCCACAATCTTATTAATATAATAAATTTGTAACTAGACGATGTTTATGCATGTATAATATACATATGTAGGTATATAAGAAATATAAGGAGTCTTAATAAGACTAATAGATGATAAAATATTAATTTTAGAAGTCTTGTCTGTATGTATGTTTGTTTCAGCATCACACAAAAACTATTACACTAAATTGGATGCAATTTTGTTGTGTGTTTCTAAAGGTCTAACTTAAAATCTGGTATATGTTTAATCGTAATTTGCCATCTAAAAGCTTTATTTAGCTAGTTATGTAGGTACTCGTATAAAGCGATAATGATGTCGAGTCTCATTGAGAAAAGAGATTATATTATGATTAACTATAGGTGCAGTTTTTGCTATATTAATATTTTATAAACAACTAAATTTTAAATAAAACCCTGTAAATACCTGACCTGAACGGTAGGCTAATAACGTCCTTTTGTCAATATGAAAGTTTATAAAGATTATTGAATATTTGTTTTTCTATCATACTTAAACAGATGAACGGATTTTTAATTAATATATACAGTTACAAAAGGAAGATTTTGTGTAAAATTTTCTGAATGGGTATGCAGATGACTGATCATGAAGTACTCCACTTTATTTATTTCTCAGCCTCGTGGATATATTTTATTTAATTTTAAAGTCCCGATTTTGTATTTAAAATGTAGATGTATTTCAACAAAATTAAATATTGTATTTATTATTTTCAGAGTGTTATTTCCTGGCGGAGCGACGTACTTCAATCAATCCAATGGTTACGCGGACGCTGGTCAGCATATATACGAGATAGCACAAGAATTTAATGAAGCCGATGATTATTTTCCTATATTTGGAACGTGTCTCGGGTTCGAGTTACTTATCATACTTGCGTCAGGCCGCCGCGAAAAGGAAAACAGGATCCAATGCAATTCTTCTTTGAGCCGTCCACTCAATTTTACTAACGGTAAAATATAGATTAAGTATAACATTCCATACCTTCCATTGTAAAAATTCCTAAAAAAATTCTTATTAAAAAAACACTTAAATATTTCGGAAGGTGTTCTGCATATCGCATTATTTGTTTAATCAACATTGAAATACATATGTCTACTCTTGTTATATCTTAATTAACTTTTGGAGTATAATTTCTACAGATAGTTGCAAGGTAAATTGATTTATTTATAATACGAATATTAAAAAAAATTAAATCGTATAAAATTTTAATCATCATATATAATATAAAAAATAAAAAAAGATGACATGTAAATTTAATATGTCAGGCTTTAACAATACGTAATATAATCTATCTGAACTTTCGTCCTTTCCAGTTTAACGACGATTTTAAGCTTTTAACATAAGTACTAATTTATAAAGTCTAAAAATATTTATTAAGTCTCATAATTACAATATAGACCATTGTTCTATTTTGTTGCAGATTTCCGTGATAGTAAAATGTTTAAAAATGCGCCGCAGGATCTCGTTGATTTATTAGCCTATTACGACATAACTGTTAATGCTCATCAATTTTGCATTGTTGACGAGGTTAGTGCAATGTCTGCATATTGTCATTATGACATACTAACATTATTCAAATGAATGCCAGAGGAAACATTATGACTTATATGTGACTCGACCAAGAAGGACACCGCCGCAATGTGTGCATTGTTGTGTTGTCTTTTGGTATGCAGGATACGGTAATCTATGTAACGCTTTTTTTTTTATAACCTGGAATAACAGATTACTTGCTGATCCACCTGAATCATTTGATGATATATTGACTATGGATATTATAAATTACACTATGAAACACATAGTGCTTCTAAAGTCTGAAAGTTAAAGTCTTTTATCATATTTTTTAATATGGCTTGAGTTTTGAATCAAAACATAATTTCGTCATTTATTGTGTGATTACTTTTTTTTTTAGAATCTAAAAAACTTCAACTTGAACAAAGATTGGCGAGTGACATCCTATTCGAATGACGATAAAGGAGTGCAATTTATAGCAACAATTGAAAATAAAAGGTGAAATATATATTTTATTATATTATCTTAAATATTATGGATAGAAGGGCAGAAGGAATTGCTAGCAATATATTGCTAGCAATATACCCAGTCAGATCCCCCCTAGACACCATCATGCTGAATTCTAGGTGTATTCATCACGATGAGCTAACTGACCTGCCTTTTCATTCTGGTCTATCATCTCTCACTGGACTTGCCAGCGTATACCGTTAGCACAGGCGGGGTTACCATTCCATTATCATCGAATAAAAAAATGATAGAAAAGGAAATTAAGGAATAAAATTTCCTTTTCTTTAGTCAATTAAAAAAGCTAACACCACTTTTTATTTGATAGGGAAAATTTATCATGAAAAGTGTAAAAGTACTTATAAAATTTCTAAATTTGAAAGTTGGGTGAAAACATACAAGTAATTAATAATACTGTATAAATATAAACAAAGAACTGCTGTTTATAGTATAAGATAAAATAAAAGTAGGTACTTAGGTGCAGACAATATGAATTGATCGAAGATTTCTATAAGCTGCTATTCTGTCACATTGAATTTAAAAGTATTTATCATAATAAAATTTATGTTGCCGAGTAATCTTAATATTATTATTAAAAAAAATTGCTAGTGGACGGCGACTTGGAAATAATGGTCATACTCTTAATCTATGTACGGTGGAGGGTAGAGTAGATGCAAAGTGAACCATCTCTGTATAAGAAAAAGAGTTCGTTGAATGGCGTTAATTTAGGATGACGCTACAGTAGCAGCTGGGTAAATAAAAAAAAAAAAAAGTGAACAAGGAAAGCAAATCTTCCGCTTTTTATAATGGCGCACTTTCCAAAAGCCTAAAATAGAAACAAAATGATATAATGTAAAATAATATTATTATGTTTGATGCATAAATAAATGTTTAATTTTTATTTATGTATTAAATAGTAAAGGACTTAAATTAATCTCAGCTCACTTCACAACATTAACAACTGCTAAATTAATTTCATATCCTCTTGTTGCTCTAACGCTATGCTAAAGGGATTTATGACTGTTACAGTTGGACACTTTTGCTATTGTTCCATTCATTCTCCATCCTCAGTAGTATGTACGATGAGATATATCCTATGATATATATTACTATGTATTGAACTTAATGTGTCTATACACATTAAGTTCAATACATAGTAATTTAAATTTAGAACGTACAATAGGATGTGAACAAGCTGGATTTTATAGTTTATTATATTGATAGCTAACTAGCCAGTCTTATTAATTCAAAATTTTTTGGTTTATCAGATAAGTTTAAATGCGATCATTTAGTTAAAATATTTATCTAGGGTCTAATCATTTCGTCTAGGTTATCCCCAACTGAGATGATCACAAAAAAGAAATAGCTCTAGTCGTAATAAAATCTATATAGGACCAATACGAAATAAAACACAATTACGGCGAATTTTTATTAAGAATAATTTTTAGAGATCAGTCGAAAAATGTTTCTGATATTATATATATACAACTTAGAATGGCAAACAAGCTGACGGCCCACCTGATGGAAAGTGGTAACCGTCGCCTATAGACATGAGCAGTACCATGGACATAACACAATATACTGTTTCGCCCATGATACCTTCCATGCGTTGTCATTCCTGAGGACTGAGGTGTTATTCCTCTGTACCCAGTAAATGAAAGTGTACCATATGAAAGTATAATACTGAGCTTATACACTTTAGTCGTAAAGGATATACAAAGCCGAAACCTAGTGATAATATTCATAAAACTGAACAACATGTCCCATGGTACAAATTCGAAATTTCTATATATCGATCGATTATCGATTTAGCATGTGAGGTTTAAAAATATTTTTAGATTTCTTTATGGAGTAAATTGTTCAGTTTCATTAAAACTGTCATTGGATTTCGTGTCGTAACCTTTACGTTTAACCTTGGTGATGTAACGGTTTAATACACTGCACATCTTAGATAATACAAACATTTGTATTCATGTGTCCATTTTTATTGGTCTGACTGTTTTCTGTGTATTGTACCTATGTATGTATTAAAAGTCGTTTGGTCCCGGCATAGAATAGGCCAATCCGTCTGCCAAACGTGGCAACTACTGGCACATCTCCCAAGAGGGAGGCTTATGTTCAGCAATAGACAATTAAAGGCTGACATGATGATGATGGCGTATTTTAAATATTAAAGTATTTCTATCAGTGGATACTCATAGTATAAGATTTGTTTAGTTTCGTACTAGATGGCACTGTGTTCAGTGGTACTAACTTTAGTTATTTATATATTTTTTTCAGATATCCATTTTATGGTGTGCAATTTCATCCCGAGAAGAATTCCTTCGAGTGGAAGCAGTCCAAGAATTACCCGCATTCGTCGGACGCGGTGCGAGCGAACAGATACTTTATGGATTTCTTCTTGAACGAATGTAGAAAGAGTTCTCACACGTTCCGGAACGTAGACGAGGAGAATGAGTACTTGATTTATAATTATGAACCTAAATTCACTGGAAAAATTGGTAGTCAGTACGAACAATGTTACTTCTTCGAACCTCGACGTCATAGACATTGCACAGTTTAATATAATATGTTAGTTATTTCATTGTAATATCAAGTATTCGTCTATGGACATGTTAAGAAACAGTAATGCATCTCGAATTGTTATGTACGTCTTCGAGAATCACCAAAAGCGTTAGACTACTGGCTATTCCTTACACTGTGGTAATATTTTGAATTTGTTATAGGTACAACTATTTGAGATCTACCTATTTAGAGTTTAATAAATAATTTATTTATATAGCTTTAATGTATGCAATATGAATAGGTAAAAGCACCTATATTTGGGTGTTCTGTACCGTGCTACAATGTAAAGAATATTGTAGGTAGAATATACAAAATATACAATTTAGGAAAATTTATATTTATACAAATCATATTTTTCTAAAATGTTAATTATATTATTAGCTAATTACATGAGCTGTTGTTTCAATTATTTCTCATTCCCACCTGGTATATATCTTTGCTGATTACTTTGTAAAAAGTACTAAACCGATTCAGATGAGGTTATTACGATTAATCATGAGTCACAGAATTGAATAAGGTAACCTAGTGAAAGTGGTGAATTGATAGTCTTTTTTATGTCTTGGACAGCGCCATGGACGTTACAGAATACACTGTGACTTCCGTGTTACCCTTATGCGTTACTATATTTTTTTAAACGGTTAGTTAGCCCATCCTGTTGAATTCACTTAGAACTGAGCATGATAGTTTTTAGGGAGAACTGCGAGGAGGTCGACCTAGCAGGATATATTGCAGAGAGGTTATAATCCCCAGTAATAAAATGACTGTTGCATAAAGTCTCCTTCTGATGTCATAACTAAATTATTAATAAAATACTAGTCTTCCCCGCGAATATGTATGTGTGGATTTCGTAAGTAGTTAGTCTGTTTCGTCGCGTAAAAAGAAAAATTATTGACATAGATAGCTTATTTTATATCTAGATAACATATCAAAATAAAAATGCATCAGACTTTAAGTTAAGTTTGATCTTCAAGAATACAACCGTGAAAATCGTATCCAATTTGGTGCAGTAGTTTTTATGTAATGCCGCAACACACATACTTATAGGCAGGGTTTACCAGAAGGAGACTTCGTATAAAAGTCGTTTGCTTGGGCACCTCTGCCCCATTTGTGTTTCTACCATGAAGCAGCTGTATTTGCATGGCTGTGTTTCGGTTTGAAGGATGGGATATGGCAGGGAATTTACAGGGTACAGAGAAATAACACGTAAGTCCTCAGAAATGGCAACGCATGGGGAGTACAGTATTATAGGCGAAACAGTATATTCTGTTATGTCCATGGTACTGCTCATGTCTATAGGCGACGGTTACTACTTTCCATCAGATGGGCTGTCAGCTTGTTAGCCATTCTTAGTTGCATAAAAAATAATTCTAAAATTTATTATTTTGGCTTGTAATTATAAAACTTTATATTTTTTAAATATTTTTTAAATACAGACATTGTCTAGTTTATCATATGTTTATAGACGAAAATCATAGATTAAGTATAGTACCTACGAAGAAAATCTTATTGTTATCAATTATGATTGACAGATTGAAGTATCTTAAATTGAATTACTTAGACACTTATCATTCCATGTATATATTTATCTGACATTAAATTGTTTTGTGAATGTTATCAAGACAGTATGTTATCTTGATAACTTTCACAAAACAATTACATATAATACAGAAAACCAATGAAGTTACGATAATAATAATTTTGTGATATGCAATTAATCCTTATTAATATTATAAATATGAAAGTGAGTTTCTTTGTTTGTTTGTTATATATTATAGCGCCTTAATGGCTTAACTAATCACTATTCCCGTGGGTGTCGTAAGAGGCGACTAAGGAAACTTAATGATCGAGGAATGGGTAGAAGCGTCTCTCTTAAAATATCATCAAAGTCTAGCTGCGGTTGCCTCCCGCCTGTCTAGTGTGGCAACTACTGGTAAAACTTCCCTTATGGGGAAAGCTTATGTCCAGCAGTTAACGGTTAATATAACAAAAAAAAAAATACTATGGTTACTCAAGAATCTATTTTCGTATCTTATTGTGAGTAGTCAGATGATAGTAGCTTATTGCACCGAACTACAGTTTTAACCAATTACTGGTGAAGTCCTGTTTCTAAAAAATATCATAGAAGAGCCGTGGACCAATTCGAAGTTGAAATTTTTATTTCATTAGGACGATGCAAATAAAGAAAAAAAAAACCACTTTAAGCTTCTTATGACTTTTAATTTTCAATCTCTTTATCCAACACAAGGCTAAAACAGAATCAAAATAAGTGTAATATTTCACACCACAAAAATTATTATGTACCTATCTATAGTTTTACGAAGTACAAATTTGATCAGGCATACCAAGTACCTGTTTTAATAAAATTAAGTTACTTTTATATCGCAGTACAAAAGTTGTTTATTTTTACAAACCGTGAAAACAAAATGTTTAAATATGCACCTGGATATGTCATTATACTAAAAAAGTAAAAACTCGATGTTGGATGTGCTTTGAGTTTTATGTTGATTCTTAGGGTAGTACATTGCGCAGCGTGAGATCCCTTCGTTAATATATATATATATATATATATATATATATATATATATATATATATATATATATATATATATATATATATATATATATATATATATATATATAAACTTTTTGCCCGCTACTTCGTACATACTTCGTAAATTAAGTACATCACTTCTCAGTGGCGTATCAAAGTTAAACATATACCAGATCTCAAGTAAGACATTTTTTACTATTGAAGAGTCCCGCAATTGATTACGATATGGTCTAAGATAGGGCTCGCGGACCCACGAATAGGTTATCAAATTTACCTTAAATTGGTGCAGATTATATTTGGATTATATTTCATTCATCATGACTGAAAGACCGAAAGTGCGTGTAAATGGTATGTCTACGACGTAAGGGCGGAGGTTTTTGCTCCGTCTGGTACTTCGATGCCGAAAGGGTGAAGGAGGAATCAGGTCATGCAGTTCTTTAGCATGCTCTCCAAATTGTATTCTGTAGAAAACAGCGTATCGCGTAATTTTGCGGCGGTGTTCTAGAAGTTTTAAATGCAGCAACAAATCGTCCCTTATGAGCTTCATCCAATTTAATGCAGTGGTTTTTGCGAGATGCCGCAATAAACATACAGACAACTATTCTGAAAATTATTATTTTGGCATCTATTAATCTCATTAAGGACACTTGTATACTCGTATATTTTACAGAGTATACTGTTTCGCCCATGATACCCCCGATGCGTTGCCATTCCTGTGGACTCAGGTGTTATTCCTCTGTACCCTGTAAATTCACTGCCATATCCCACCCTTCAAACCTTTATTAGTAACATATACACAGATTTGCATACTTTTTAGGGTTCTGTACCTCTAAAATAAAAAAAACAAAACCCTTATAGGATCACTTCTTTGTTCGTCTGTCCGTCCGTCTGTCAAGATCCTTATTTTTAGAAACGCGTGGAGGTATCAAGCTGAAATTAATATCATATATATATATCGTTAGGTTAGGTTATAAGCGGTACAAGATATTGTAAAATGTTTTCTTATTAAAGTGCGTCAATAATCTAATTATGGCTTTATATTTGTTAATGAAGTAAAATCTTGATGGGTCGGTGTATGTATATGTATGTAGATATGTGAGATATGTATTTGTAAGCAACTTGTTACACTGTAGATTGTGTGGGTGTTTTGCTTGTTGGTTATGTTTAACCCTGGTATTTCCTTTTTGATGAGTCATCTCAAATTTATATTATTTTTAGATATCCATTCCACGGCGTGTAATTTTATCCTGAGAGGAGTAAGTGGAAAGTGTTCAAAAAATATCCTCACATTATTAATGCTATGTTAGCAAAAATAAATTTCATGAATTTCTTCGTGAAAGAATCTAGAAAGAGCTTCCATGCATTTAAATAAAATTATAATAATTATACAATATTATAACATATAATTTTATTTTGGGTTTCTAACTTTATAATTTCTAAAATGTTGCTTTAAATTTTCATTAATGAAGTTACTACAACAATATAATAAAAAAAAATATATGGAAAATTAAGAATAAGATTAGTTTAGATTATGCAGAACAAATAATCGTCTTATGAATTTTATCAATATATTTTCGGTATATTTAAACCTTTAATAGTCATTGACATAATATTCACAACAACATTGTAAACGACTGTATGGCCCCGGCATAGAATAGGCCACCTCCCCTTTCCCGTGGTTATCATAAGAACCGACTCAGGAGCAGCGTTCCTTTTAAAACATTACCAAAGTCTAAATGCGGTTGCTCATCTGCTTGTTAACCGTGGTAGCTACTGTTACCCCAAGGGAGGTCTATATTCAGAAGTGGATAGTTTACAGCTGATATCATCATCATCAACATTCCAAAGTTTTTTTTTTATGCAACTTAGAATGGTAAACAAGCGAAGGTTCATCTAATGGAAAGTGGTGACTGTCGTCTGTAGACATGAACAGTACCATAGACATAACAGAGTATACTGTTTCGCCCATGATACCTCCCATACGTTGTCATTCTTGAGTACTAAAGGTGTTATGTCTTTTTACCCTGTAAATAAACTCCCATATCCTATTCTTCAAACCGAAACATAGACATGCAAACATAACTGCTTTATGAATAGAAACACTGCTCAGAAACACGAATGGTACAGAGGTACCCAAGCAAACGACAGTCTCCCTCTAGTATTTTTTTTTATTGGTGAAAATGGTATGGTAGCCCCGCCTGCGCTAACGGGATACGCTGGCGGAGCACCAGTGAAGGGTGATAGATGAGAATGAAAACAGGCCAGTTAGCCCATCGTGATGAATTCATCAGGAATTAATCATGATAGTTTCCAGGGGGAACCACGAGGAGGTCGACCTGGTTGGGTATATTGCTAGCAATGGGATTCTCAGTCTCCATTACTAACAATCCCTTCCCCCCCTCTAGTACTTGCGGGAATACCTAATATAATTTTGCTATGTACCTCATTTTGTTCATATTTTTCCTTTGTTAGTTCTACAGATTGTTAACTTCAAAATACAGTGCCATCAATCATTTTCAATATCAATTGAAAGTCGTCGTATGTTCTCCATTAAGTACTAATGACAGTATCTTATCAATGTTTCTGAAACGTAATTTTTATCATTATGTGAATTTAAATTGTTTTTTTAGTATGTTATTATATATCTGTATGTACTTATATAATTATAGTTGCAGAAATTAGTTAAATAAAGTTAAAAGGGAGGAAAGGGAAAAGAATTTATGCTTATGGACCTTATAAAATGGAATTTTGAAATTATGCATGTATTTAGTAATAGAAACAAACCATAATGTATAAAATGGAATAGAATAGATAAGATTTCACAATTTTATGGGGGAAAATACTGGGTTTGGTTTCAAAAAGAAGACACATTTGGATGTTTTTAATATTCTATTATGCAATTACGTTGCCAATTTTAAACCGATTTTGATAATTCATTTTGCAATAAATAAGCTTTATTTTTGTATTGATTTCATATTAATTTTGTGATGATTAACGGTCTTTGTGGAGTAAAAAACTTGTGTTACTAAACAAATTGTCTATGTACGAATATGATTCCCAGTGATAAAGTATTATCAACCTAATATTTTTACAAATCACTGTTTTTATTATATTTTATGACATATCTCTTTTTTAATTTTAGATATTTTATTTGGCAAATATAGATATATAAAATTTTAAATAATGGAATTATAAAAATTTTATATAAAGTCAAGTATAACTTATATTCATAAACATGTAATATTATAATTATACTCATTTGTTATACTCATAAATTACTTTTACTAATACCTCATAATCCCAATCGTAACCTTAACGTGTCCTAAAATTCGTTACATAATTTAGCTGCTCTATGGTACCTAATGTATATTGGTCAGTCTAAATATAAGCAGAATATGTTGAGCTAAAGCTGATTGGAAGTTCATGTACAAATAACCATCTGCATCTGAGTGCTCGTCACGATTATTTAGGTAGTCAGTAGCAGCGGGAGTCTCCCTCCGATTGAGGTTGAAATAAAAATAAACAGATTCATTCTTATTGCGTTTGTTGTAATTATGTAAGGGCTCTAATTTATTTCAAGGTTTTTATTTGTTAAATACTTTAGAAGGAAGTCACTTCATTAAATAGACATCTTTAATTTTTTTTCTATCGTTCTTAATCTTTTCGGCTTATAGTTATTGATGTTGGTATTTGATTCCGAATTCTGTGGTCGTCTGTGGGAGCACAGATGGAAGTGATGGAAAATGAACATGAACAATAGAAGACTGCCGATGCAGCGTGATTAAATACGAGATATCCAAACACGGACTACGGAATCAAACGGAAAGTGGTCATCATCTATATACATAAACAGTACCATGGACATCATTAGTATACTATCATGTTCATAATACCCCTCGTGCATTGCCATTCATGAGGACTAAGATATTACGACTCCGTACTCTGTAATTTCACTTCTATATTCTACTCTTGAAATTGAACAAGCAAACATTTTTACAAACTTTCATATTTATAATAATACCAGTATATAATTTGAAATCAGTATACATACATAAATAAGTATGTATTTGCAGACATGAGATGCGATACTTACAATTTTGTGTTATTTACGGGGTTATATGTAAGATAGATAATAATAATATACATTATTGATTAATGATTTCGAATATTCGTATAACTTTTGCGCCTTATCAGGCTCTTTTAGCGGTCAATGAACTGCAGTTTGAAGAAAATACCTAGATCACAGTCAAAGATATTCAAATTTGTTTAGACTTGTTTTGTTCTTCGACTGATAATATAATTATTTAAATAAGTCTTCAGTTTAGGTTTACAAATGTTAATATACTACATGACTTTAATTTAACATTTTCTGTTTGTAGAGGACAAACTCAAAAACTGATTCCAATATTTCTTTCACTTATGCACTTAAAGCTACATTATCAGCGAGTAACATTGGCTGTTTTATGTCAACCGACTTCAAAAAGGGGCAGGTTATCAATTCGGTTGTATTTTTTTATTTTATATTTGTTATCTCATAACTCGATATGGACTATTCTTTTTATCTGAAAGGTTACACTTATAGATTGGTCCCACAGACATTTTATCAAAATCGGTTTAGTAATTTAGTTTCGAGACCAGAATAACTAGTTTTGTTACAATTGAAGTCGGTTTATGTAGGACATATTTATTAATTATTTACAAAAACAATTTTGAGATCTTTGATTTATCTACATCAACAACAGTGTAGTCGCGTCGTGCTCTTTATTTTAATAAAAGTAATACACAAGCATTTTAAAATAGCTATAATATTGAACAATTTGATGTGTGGCTACCTCGGTCTGCAGTGAGTTGTTATCTCAGGGAACCTCATCGATCTGTGGAATATAAATCAATCGCAAGTATTGTACTCTTTGTATGGATTTCATTGAAGTGGCGGATTCGCAGGATTTTTTGTTTTCTACCCACATTGAAATTAATTTTTTTTGCATCAACATCAGACAGAAATTTTATTTTGTGTTGCCAGGTATGCAGTTAAAAATACCCATAAATAAGAATCATTAATTGTGGAAGTGATATAAAATAATACCCACATTATCTGGTAACGCATAGTTCTTACATATATTCGTTTATACATATATAAATTATAAATATAATGACTTCTCCTAGGACTTGGGGCTGTTGTGCGCTGGATAGACCAGAAGACGAGAAGTACATTAATTGTTGTGAATGTAATAAATATTTTCACTTTGAATGTTTATCTATACAAGTAATATCAGATTCTGAGCTTCTTCAATCTTGGAAATGTCCAGTTTGTCAGAACCGTCGTTTGAAGATGACTAGAAAGGATAGTACACCAGTGCGAAAAATATCGACTGCTAGAGGTAATAAAAGACCTGCTTTGAACTCTCCTCCGTCGGCCTGTCCACCACTGACAGTGGACGACGTGCGTGTTGCGGTTCAGGATATTCTGGATAGCAAATTCGAGAAAATGGTTGCACAGCTTAAAGGAGATATGGCCTCAATGATAAAGTCGGAATTGGCTACTATAAGGAATGAAGTAAGGGAGATTGTAGAATCCGTAACTTTTATGAATGCAAAATTTGAAGATTTTGTGGTTGAACATGAGAGCATGAAAAAAGAAATAACAGAATTGAAAAGCGAAAAAGAGAAGATGAAAGATACAGTGAAAGAACTGAATACGCGTATTATTTACTTGGAGCAGCATTCTCGTGCCAGTAATCTAGAAATTCAATGCATACCTGAACATAAAAATGAGAATTTATATAGTATAGCTAAACAGATAGGAAAAATAATAGGCTGCGAGATTGAAGAAACTGATATTGCCCATTGTACTCGTGTATCTAAAGTGAACCCTTCAAGTTCTCGTCCGCGATCAGTGGTACTGCAATTATCTTCACCTAGAACTCGGGATAATTTTTTGGCGTCTTCGATTAAATACAACAAGACTAATGCAAAAGCTAGACTGAATAGTGCCCTTCTTGGATTTTCGGGTAACATTACGCCAATTTACATTGTGGAACATCTGTCGCCTGCCAACAAGGCGTTACATGCCGCAGCTCGGATTAAAGCAAAAGAAAATTCTTACAAATATGTTTGGGTGCGTAATGGCAAAATATTTGTAAGGAAAAACGAAGAATCTGGTTACATGCTGATCAAAGATATGGACTGTGTGGCTAAAATCGTATAATGAATTTCAGTTTCCTGTGGTTCTTTATGTCAAGTAGTGGTTTTAATTATATTTACATTCATTAATTTAAAAGTGTATTATCAAAATTGCCGAGGTTTACGCACAAAAACTCAAGTATTTTATCGAAACATTTTAATTAATAATTACGATGTCGTAGTTTTAACTGAAACTTGGTTAAATGGTTCTGTAATGAGTGGTGAACTGTTTGATGACAGGTATGTGGTTTATAGAAGAGATAGAGAATCTTCAGGTTATCGCCATAATAAAGAGGGCGGCGGTGTACTTATAGCTGTTTTAAAGTCTATTAAATCAAAACGAATTTTTAAATGGGAAAGTAAATCCGAGGATTTGTGGGTTATTTTGGATGTTCGTATCTCGCGTTGTTCTCATCAATTAGCTATTTGCTCTGTCTATTTTCCACCGCCTGTTTGCAAATCAGAGCTAGATAATTTTATAGACAATTGTAATGCTATATTTGAGGAAACTGATGCATATGTATGTATTATAGGTGACTTTAATCAGGGAGGTATAGATTGGTCACTGGTGCGAAATTCAGCGCACAATGGCAATTTGACCGCAATCAATCAAATACTTATTGATTTTATATATTGTAATAAACTAAATCAATTTAATCTGGTACACAATGCTAGTAGCCGAATTTTAGACCTCGTTTTGAGCAATGTATCTGTTTGCGAGGTTGGGGAATCTGTTGGTGCATTGAGTAAAATTGATCAACTCCACCCACCATTGGACATCATTATTTCCCTACATGAACAAACTAATCTCCCATACAATTATTCACAAACCAAATATAACTTCTACAATGCTAATTACGAAGAAATAAAAGGAACATTGCGAGATGTGAACTGGAGGGAGTTATTCAATGGACTTCAGGGCGTGGATGATATGGTTGAGTTACTCTGTCAAATTTTAAATTCCTGTATACGAAAATTTGTACCACTTCAAAAATTAAAACACAAAAAATTTCCACCGTGGTTTAATCGCACGTTGATAAGATATTTAAGGGAAAAGAATAAACTAAGGTTAAGATACAAAAAATATGGAAATCCAATGGACAAACTGGAATTGGAGTTGATTAGTACTCGCTGTAAAAATATTTCAAAAGAGTTACATAATAATTACTTAAAGCGGATTGAAAAAGAAATTAAAGTGAATCCTAAGATATTTTGGTCACATGTAAAAACGAAGCGGGGTGGTTCTAGCACTTACCCCACTTCTATGACTAATGGCAGCACTACTACATCGGACCAAACCGAGATTTGTGAAATGTTTGCGAAATAATTTTTTTCTTCATTCAACATTGATGATAGCCATACCAATTATCATTCCGATTTTATTGACTTTTTGGAAAATAATAGCCAGTGTTTATTCGCCCCAGTAATTAAATACGATACATTGTTAAATCGACTAAAGACAATAGATAAGAACAAGGGAGCAGGACCCGATGGGATCTCTCCGATATTTATATCAGCATGTGCTTTAGAATTAGTTTTGCCGCTTTTTATTATTTTTAATACTTCTCTTAAAACTGGAGTTTTCCCATCAGCTTGGAAAGTTGCAAAGGTTGTCCCTATTCATAAGTCTGATTCAGAGACAGTTTCATAGATAATTATAGACCAATCTCAATGCTTTCAGCTTTTCCTAAAATTTTTGAGTCTTTAATTTGTCCCCATATTCAATATCATTTTCGTCTTTATCTGTCGGACTGTCAGCACGGATTTGTAAGTGCAAGATCCACGTGTACTAATCTCAGTACATTTACTGAATCAGTCGTGAATGCAATTGACGCTGGTAAGCAATACGACGTTATTTACACCGATTTCTGCAAGGCTTTTGATAGAGTTCCACATAGAATATTACTATATAAGCTTTCTGCGTATGGTGTAACGGGTGCTTTGCTCTCCTGGCTAAGGTCTTATTTATCCAATCGTTCGTTTTATGTAGTTTTGAATGGATACCGTTCTTCTTTCCACTCGGTGGTCTCAGGTATTCCTCAAGGATCTCATTTGGGGCCGATCCTTTTTAATATATTTATTAACGACATCATAAACTGTTTCCAGTTTTCTGAGTTATACATATTCGCAGACGACTTGAAGTTTGCTAGGTTGATTACAACTATTGAGGACGCATTAAAGCTTCAAGACGACTTAAGTAGACTACATAAATGGTGTCTCCAAAATGGCATGAATTTAAACACTAAAAAGTGTTTTAATATGAAATTCTCTAGAAAATTGCACATTATTGATTACAGCTACCATATTCAAAATGAAATAATTGAATCTAGGAATACCATAAAAGACTTAGGAGTGACCTTTGATACAAAATTAACTTTCGTGCCTCATATAGATAATGTAGTTAAAAAAGCTAGCATGATGTTAGGATTTATTATAAGAAACACTAAAGATTTTCGTAATAGTCGAACCAAAATTATTTTATATAATAGTCTTGTCCGCAGTATACTGGAGTACTGTAGTGTAGTCTGGCGTCCACATTATTGTACACATGTTTTACGTATTGAACGTATTCAAAAGAGATTTTTGTGGCACCTCTCGTATCTAAATAATAAAGGAATAAAAAACTCCTCTTACATTGACAAGCTGAAGCATTTTCATATCATCTCATTAGAAAAACGCAGAGATTTTATTGACATTTCTTTTGGTTTTAAAATACTGACGCATATAATAGATTGTCCACAAATGCTTCAATTGTTTAACTTTCGTGTTCCCTCTAGAATACCTCGGAAACAGATAACACCTTTATGTCCTCCGTTAAGAAGAACAGTGTTAGGAGCCAACTCGCCTGTACCCAGATTGTGTAGGATTCTGAATGCTCACAGCGATCAAATTGACATCAATTTTGGACCCACCAACAGCAGATATAGCTTATTGCGGAAAATCTTAGACATAAGTTCATAATTACTTATTATTCAGATAATTTTACTGTTACTGTTATTGTTAATGATTTATTAAATATTATAATAGTGCATGTGGTGTTCGCGTATAAAAGATTTTTACATTAGGCAAAATTATTTTTTGTGTTATTAAGTTGCATGTAAAATGTAAAAGTTGTATGTGAACCTTATTAAATAAATAAATAAATACACGTGCAAAGTCGAGGTGGGTCGCCAGGTCTATATAAAAGTATATATATAAGTTTGGTTGTGTATTTGATTGAACTTCCACTATATATTTTTTTTTTATGTAGGTAATAGTTTTTAAAAGTGTTACATCCTTTTCAATCGATTCAAAAAGGAGGTTCTCAATTTTGTTGTATGTTTTATGTTTGTTACTTCATAACTCCGTCGATTCTGAACCTGAACAAATGTCCATTCTGTCCCATTCGTGTTTCAACCATGAAGCAGTTGTGTTTTCATGGCTGTGTTTAAGTTTGAAGGGTGGAATATGGCGTGAATTTATTGGGTACAGAGGAATAACACCTGAGTCCTTAGGAATGGCAACGCATGGGGGGTATCATGGGCGAAACAGTATGCTCTGTTAAGTCCATGGTACTGCTCATGTCTATAGGCGACGGTTACCACTTTCCATCAGGTGGGCCGTCAGCTTGTTTGCCATTCTAAGTTGTATAAAAAAAAATGTAATTACAGATTGATTTCATATTATATTTAATTCTTATATCAAAATAACTGGTTTTGTTATAATTGAAGTCGGTTTTATGCGTGACATCATCTTTAATGATTTATAATTGAAATTTTCAATGAGATTAAGTCGAGTCTGAAACAAAATTATAATTATTACTAATTAAATTATTAAAATGGATATACTTGTATACTTAATGAGCTTAAATGAACTCACTAATAGTCTTTAGGTACATTCCTTTTAATACATAATGATGTCATTTTTTGATTGCGCTATGTCATTATAAAATGGCGTTTATTATTTATTTATTATCATTTAAGACTTTTTCTTAAAAAAAAAACAACAGCGATTTAAATGGTTTTATCACTTACCAACATGGGATTTACTAAAATGGCTAATTACACTAAATACACTTACAAAAATGGCTAATTTATATATCCTGCTATGGAAAGTCGTTTAAAACTATTTATTTATATTGATGGGTTTTATTCACCTTGTTATCTTACTTTTATAAGCTATAGATATAAGGTAACTCTAGTATAGAGGTGTCAATTTAAGTTTTGTGGGTGGTAAAAGGTTCAACGTATTCTTGCAAGGTTAATCGCTTTTTGATTATATCAGGTCGATTACTTTTAGAAAGATACTTTTACTCGTAGATGTACGTATTAAGTATGCAATTTAATTGCTAATGGTAATGTAATTTATTGATTTTTGATAAATGATCAATATGTGCAAAAAATATATCTGCATGAGTAAGTTTTTATTTCGTTCGTTTTTCACCACTAAGCTCTATGGATTGCCGCGTTTTGGTTTGAAGGAATCAATGTAGTGCGGATAAGTTGCTGGTAAAGTGCCATAACAAAAGGTCCATGGTACTGCTCATGTCTCTATAGACATGTCCGTCGCCTATGCGATGGTTACCGCTTTCCATCAGGTGGGCCGTCAGCTTGTTTGCCATTCTAAATTGCATAAAAAAAGGTGTTTCAGAATGGTTTTTTAATTGATGATAATAGAATGATAATCCTGCCTGCGCTATCAATATATACTGGCGGGGCACTAGTGAGGGATTCTTGGTGAGGATAAAAAGGCAGGTCAGTTAGCCCATTGTGACGAATTCTACGATAAATTAGTCATGATGGTTTCTAGGGGGATTCGCGTGAAAGTCGACCTAATAAGGTATAATGATAGCAATGGGTACTAACCTGCCCATTACTAACAATCCCTTTCCCTCCTTTCAGGACGGTTAACGGCTGATATGATGATGACGATAACTATTTTGTGTTAATTTGTGCCACATTTTACTTTAATTGTCATACTCACAAATTCATCAGCCCCTTATTTGAATGCTCTTCATTTCTTATACCTATATTAAAAAAATTTAAGTAAAGTTTTAAT